GTAGACATCGACGAGATGAGGATCGGACCAAACAATACCCGATTGTTCCTGAACAGCACGCGCTAATTCGAGAGCCACCGTCAACATGAGCGGTCTTTGAGAGGGCACCATTCGATCACCGATCGTATTATGAAAGGTTGCGATCTGTTGAAGCGCTCTAGCTCGTCCGGCTAAAGACGCGGCCCTGTCCACCAGTTCTCTAATCTCTCTTGGTATCTCGACGCCTTCGCCGGACAACGCTCTAGCTTCTCTGATTAGGGTCATCAATCGAGGATCATAGGTCACTCGCATCATGCTGGTGCCGGTAAGTTCTACCACCGGCGAATCGGTACCTAAGCTTAATTCTTTCCTAGCTATCTCATTCTTCGTGTTATTCACCTGGACGAATGAAAATGTTAAAAAAATTTCAATGATACATAATTTTAAATTATTATATAATTTATTATATATTTATTATATATAATTAATTATATAATTTAAATTATTATAATTTTATGAATTATTTTTAAAAAGTTTAATTTAAAAAAAAATCATTTAAAAAATTATATCACACAGATTAAATATATAATTAAAGATTACCCATGACTCGACTAAATCCCGTCTTTTTTCTTCGGTTTCTTTCAACGCGCTTGACAATCGCGTCGCCACTTCTTCATATCCCGGCAAATCAGCGAGTAATTCCTTCCCTAACTTCGCTAGATTCTCTAGCCGCACTTCTGCAGATCTAGCGGCTTGAACCTCTTGTAATATTCTAGGAACATCCAGAAGATTTTCCGTATCGGGACCAGCTAAGCGATTTTCTACAATTTTGTGTTTCAAAAAAATAATGATTGAAAATAAATCTCAAATTCTGTAAAGTAATTTGTAAAATATTCCATCTTATAGTCTCGATTATAGCACCGAGAAAAAAAATGTATAAGACCAATAATGCGTAAAACAAATATACACAATTTTTTCTTACTTTATATTTTTGTATAAATTTTTGTTGCTTTTTTTACATATTTATAATGATTTACAATATGGAGAATATTTTAATGTTTAAGAGTATTGTACCGATTAAATCAGGATACGCCGCAAGTAAAGATTCTCGTTCTCCACGTAATGCTCTCTTAAGTCCTTCCCTCTTCATTAACTCGCTATATTTCCCAAATTCGGCTACCAAAGCATTCGGAGTATCAGCGTCAGCAATGTGATCTTTCAGCTTTTGAGCAACGCGCTCCTCGGCTGGCACCAGGCCTTCCTCGATCTTACGTCTCAGCCTATCCCATTTATCGTCCCAATCATCATCGTCCAATGCAACTGATTGTGAGTTGTAATTATTATTTGAAATACTATTAACACGAATCGATCAAGAATTCGCTGAATTTTATTTTGAATTTATTTTGAATTTATTTTGAATTTAATTATTTTTGTTATATCATTAATCGCCAAGCAATTCGTAAAAGACATGCGAAAAAAATTATCTTGAATCGATCTCAATTTCAAAGTTACTGTGCTTGCGATTTGTCGGGAAATTATTGTAGAATATTTTTTAAGTAGAGATACCTCTAGTGTCATCAAATGTCTGGAGTAATTTCTCGATACCGAGTCCAGATCTTTCATTCGAGGTCAGAAGCCTGCTCAATTGGCGATGCTGTGCACGCAAGTCGGACATTTGCCTGAAGAAATTAATCGCGACTATATATGTTATTCATTTCAATAGAATTCCATTCTTTAATTCATACGCTTTATCGCTTTACCTGAGGCTTTTGCCAAGCTTCGAGCATTTTCCGGGTACAAAGATCGCTCCTCGCCAAGGATGAAGCGAATAATGCGGCCAGAAAAGTTCTGTCAATTTTTGCGTGGCGTTTATCCATTTTTCGCACGTTGTCGCTCCGAGTGCGATTGTTTCATCTTTTACACGAGTCTCGGTTGTATCGACCTATCCAGCGATATTTCGTAAATTATTTTATTTTACATCATTTTATTATCGTTCAATAGCATTTTTGAAAAGAAAATTGAATGATCATAGAAACTTATTTGATTCAAATTTTATTTATCAACAGAAACATTTGGTTTCTTTCGAAAATTCTTTTTAAATTAAAAGTTATAATTTAAACGTTATATTTTATTATAATTTAAAAATCATACAAATATTAATAAATTTTTAAAAATTTATTTAAAAAAATTTTTTTTAATTTATGAAATCTTTCTCAATTATTGTTTGACAGCTAATCGTGAATAATATATAATTGAAAATTTTTTAAATCGACGTACCGCATTAAGATAATTCTGTGTTAATTGTACCACTTCGTTTCCAATTACGTCAAGAAATGATTTCATTCGTTCCTCAGTATACGCTGGTCCGCTTAATTTCCATAAATCATCTACGAATACCGAAATGGCTTCACAAGCCTCTTCTACAGCGATTAATCCATCTCTATATTCAACGTAAAAATTATAATAATTGTATATAATAAAGATAGTGAAAATATCTAAATAAAATAATAAAAGAACTTAGAGTTAAAGCTTTTTAATACATTAAAATCTTTTTTTTCTCATTTTACGAATTATAAATTATTACTAAATTATTATTATAATAATTATTATAAGTTATATAAATAATTAAAGTTAAATATTAATAATTTTTGTTAACAAAATTTTATTAATTTAATATCGAGTGTATATTTTTAAAAGTATTTCGCATTTTATATAATAAGATATGTAGAAAGGAAATTAAATGCACCTCGATATCGCGGCGCTTTCAAGTTCGACCCTAATGTTCTTGACCGATTTGATCGCTTCGTCGCAAATGGTTTTCTCATGCGACCGTTTCACCTTATCTCGCTTCCGCCGCCAAAACTCTTCTTCCTCTGCAACTGTGGTCGAGAATCCGGAGCTGAGCAGTTTCTCCTCGAGTTTTTTCAGACATGATGCGTTTAAGCCCGACGATCGGAGAGTCGGCGCCCAAACCTGACGAAGACCTTCGATCAATACCGATCCGTCCCCGCAACCGGTGGAAGCCACTTGGACTACGTCGTGAAAGTTTTCTTCCGTAATCACCGCCGCCGTCATCTGCGTATTTTTGCACCATCAGCGATATGAATGGCATGCCTGACTAAATCATATTGTAACTTTCTAGAAAATACTTTCTATTATCGAGGGACAATGGCACTTGTCAACGTTTATTATGACAGTGATTAAAGATCGACGAAGAGAGAAACGTACTAATCGACGATTGTATCAAGAGCAAATGAAAATGTCTCGACTACTACAGCTTCTTTTCTACTTGTCACATTTAAAATTTCATCTACTTGTCGATTATCTTTCCTTCTTGTAGTAGAAGCTCTATTAAGGTACCTTAAAGAAGACCAGATTGTTGACTGTACCGGCGTCTAATTCGGTGCTCAATTTTAAGCGAACTTGCTTCTGATCCGCGTCGATCGGTCTGGCGCACAAAATTCTACATGATGACTGCTCCAAGAAACGATCGAGGATCTCTCGGTCCTCGATGTCTTCTTCGTCCGGTTGCACGGATGCACCGAAGAAATATTCCGCCGTGGAGACTATGAACTTACGTTTATCGACAACTACCATTTCGTTCGATTTAAACACGCTTTCCTTGTAACGCAAAGTCAGGAGTGGTCCCGGTGATTTCATGAAAAAGTGATGTGATCGGGCACACCAGGAGGTGCCGGGTCGTCACGACGACCAGCCATCAACACACAACAGCTGTAGCTATCGTTACATGCATCACTGCACGTGCGCAAATGCGCGTGACGCCGCTTTAATCTGTCAGATTGCTTTTTATCTAATAGCATTATGAATAAAAAAAATGTTTGACCTTATATGTGTGTGCAATATAATTATATATGCAGGTAATATAATAAAAGAACGATATTTACATATTAAAAACGTTTTAAAATATCATGCAAAAAATTTCGATATTTATATAAATCGTCCAGTTTATTCTGAGATTGAAGAAATATCGATAATCATCAGTTGAGCTTCAAAAGAGATTTTAAAATTATAGATTATAAAAGATCATATTAAATGAAGAAAACGTACTGATTCTATTTATAAAATTAAAGAAACAGTTTATTGAGACATTATTATTCAAATTCAAGCGTATTAATTTTCAGTAAGTGTACATGATATCGTGATGGTTATCGCAGTTATAGATTAAACGGTGTATCAATGAGCTCAACTCATATTCTGTGTCATGTGAAAAAAGCCATAATTAATAATCTTATCTGACAGCTTCTAACTGTAGACTCCTAATCAGCTGGCACTTATGACTTCTTAAAAAAACACTGCGTATATACAGATGACTTGTAATTTTAATATGAATAAATTACATAAATTATATTAAATATTTATAAGTAAGGCCACATTCAAATATATCATGAAGGAAAAATCATTTTAATTGTTAATAAAATATTGAAAATGATGTAATTTGAAATGAAATAATTTGTGTTCTGCCCACAAAATAAATATCTAAATTCTCTCTTTAAAAAGAGGAGTAATTGGCAGCTCTGAAAAAAATTCAGAGATACACATCAGATTGAGAAGTTATATAAAGTGCATTATAAAGTGTTTCCTATGTTAGTTCTCGATTTCTTTGACTGCATTATGCACGGGATGCCTTGTAAATTTATGGAGCGTGCATACTTGCGCCTTACGAGTGCTTATGCGATCGGAACGTTAGCGTGTGTTGCGTGCTTGCTCGCACCAAGGCCGCAATCTCGGAGCACCTTCCTTTCGGACCCTCGGCAAACAATTCTCCGATAATTCTATATTCTTGCATTATTCGTTGTTCTATGCCGGAAAGTTTTACGCAAAAAATGACGAAGCGAGGGAGATTTTTAAAAATATTTAGACATTAGGAAGACGAAAGAGCGTGATATCTCGAGCGAAGAAGTCCCTGACTGAAAGTAATCCAACAATGCGCCGTATATTCTGGTATTGTAAGGCCGATACTGTCGGCAATGTTTCCTCATCGGCCACCGACGCCACGATCCACGATAATGAGTGATCCACGCATCCACAACCTAGATCGCCATATTCCAGATACACTCAGTCGTATCGTAAACACGCACGTGCGAGCTCGATTCGTTGTTTCACGCGGACAAAACGTTCGAAAGTGGATTTCTAGTTAGGTTTTTTCCAACGATATTTTCTCTTTAAAGACGAGTGACAACTTTATGCGGCAGTCGAACGGTATTCGCGGTGAGTTAAAGATATATAGACGTTCGTTTACTTTCACGTAGGAATTGTCTAAGAGTGTTTTCCATATAATATCAGGAATCATGGTGAATAATAATATTTTATTAATATTTTTATATATATTATTAAACTGTCTTAGAGAAAAAAGAAAAATAAAAAAGTAGCTAATGGTATCTCATAATACATTTAACATTTCGAGTATTTCTGATTTTAATGTTACAGTTTTCGAGTTGCAAATAATAGAAAATAATTCGGTCAGTTAAAATAAATACAAATAAACAGTAAAATTTTTTATTCCTTACTTAATATTATGTGGATTTTATATTAATGTTAATAAATATAAATTAATTAATTAATTTAAAGAATTAAATAATGGAAATATTTCAATTTAATAATATTAAAAATAAATTTTTTTTTTAAATGCCATAGTCAAATTTTTGTTAAAAAAATGCTAACTTTTCAAGTAAATATATGGCTATTCAAATAATCTGTAATTAAAACAACGCTTATACATTTTATATTTTTATATTTTATTGATAAAAATCATGTAAAATAATCATCAAATGAAAATTATTAATTTTGCATGATTGAAAAATGTACAAATGTTTGAAATTATATTTTTTCAATTGTTTATCATTTCTAAATAAAAGAATATATATTACATTATATAAAAATTAGAAATTACATATATCAATAAAATATAATATTATATTATTGCCTATTTATATTGAACTGAACATTTCTTATTTTAGAAACACATTGATTTAAAGGTAAAATGTTTTATGGACGTACATACAATTTAATAGATAGCTGTATAAAGAATTTTTATAATCACACAATTTGTAGTATTATGTTAGTATTAACTAATAATAAGTTTTATTTTTTATAAATTTATAAAGAATACGGCTCTATGTATTTAACAACATGATAATTATGAAACGAGCGATAAGAGCCTAAAAACGCGGGCGTAATTTTTTTTTTTATGTTATATAAAATAAAAACCACACATTTATTGTAAAATTGGCTTATTTCTTATATATACAAAGTCTCTCTACTGCAAAAAAATGCATTTCCTTGATATTATATGCAATTAAAAACATAAGTAATACAAGGTTATATACGCTTATAAAATGAAACAAATATATTTCCTTTGCGTTCTTATACACATCTTTCACAAATATTTTGATAAATATGATTATGATGAATGTTGTTTTCTCATCATTTCTCTTATCATATTAAAAATTTGTTTTTTATTCAGATAAATTTGTTGATATTTTTAATATTGAAAAATTATCTCTATCTTTCCTTATTTTACATTAGTTATATTTAAATCTGCATTTTAAGTTATTTCCTTTAATATTGAATATATCAATAAAAACGTACTACTAATATTAAATACACTGATACTGATTTATTATTTTTAAACTGTTAGGATTATTTAAATTATTTAAACGTTTTGTTGTTAATAAAAATATTAATTTCCTAGATAAGTATTATACTGATAAAAAAATTATTTATTTTATTTTTATATATTTTTCTACGACATTAAAAAATGTATTTTTAAGTTAATCTGATACATTAAAACGTGAATAACATATTCTCTAAAAAGAGTAATAATTCAAATAAGACATTCTATAAAAAGAGTTTTGCAGATAGTACCATGTAAATCCTTCTTTCTGGTTATCTTTAATTTTAATATTTATGCAGCTGTCGGTATGCAGGAATACATAATGCACTCTACATTCCACAATTAACAGCAAACCGAATGACATTTTTGTATCGTTACTCAACATGCATTTTTCTTTGATATTTATCAAATCGTTAACAAAATGAATTCCTCTTAAGACTTGGATTTTATCGCTTAATTAGTAATATCATCTTGCTTAATAAGTGCCTATTACTTTTAATTCATCGCCTATTTTTGTCTAGAAAATAGCAATGTTTTTATCAGCATAAAACTCTTATTATTAATTTAACGCATGTTACGTCGTGCCAGAGAATCATATATCTCTCATGAGATTATATATTTTATGTAGTAATATAAAATATCATAATAAAATTACTTTTTGGAATAGAATTCGAATTATAAGAGAGATTTTTTCTTTATCTTAATAAAATTGGGATTTATCATCTAAGTGTCTCGAATTGATAAGTTTTGAACATATTTGAGAAAGAAAGAAAGATAAAAAGATTATTATTTGTTTATGTAATGTGAATGTGTGTATAATTAAGTTTTTGTTTACGTTTCATTTAATTGAGCTGACGTACATACATATGCGCGTGCGCATAATATTCAAATTTAACTAGATAAACTAAGATAACAAGAATAGAAAAGATAGACATATTTCTTAAAAACGCGAGAAATCATGCCGTACAATTGAAGATGAATCATGCAACATGCATTTAAACGCTCGTAATAATTGCGAGGATTACGTAAAAAGATGCTTACACGACGCCCATAGAACTTTACGAAAGAAATTCCTTTATGTACATAAAGGAATTTCTTTCGAACTTTAGCGATTTTTAAGAGAGAGAGAGAGTTTCTCTCAACATATACAGAATAAAATCTGTAACATGAGAAACTAGTATCGTAAAATATTAATTTAAAAAATGAATTGCAAATGAATTGCATTCTTATTAAATAACAGGAAAAGATTAAGGCAAGAAGAAATTTTCCTCATGATAATGGAGGTTTAAAAGAAGATTATTTTACGAAGATCTATACATTTATCTATTTATCTATATTTATAAAATTTAATTTTATTTAATTTTACTCTTCTCTTTTTACATGTTTGTTTACATGTTTACAGATAAAGATCCACTGTTATATTTCTTAATAGGTTTTTTTTCATTTTCTTCAGGTATCAAAAAAACTTCATCGCTTCCTTCTCGACATGAGCACTGAAAGTAACAAAGGGCCTCCGAGCGTCATTACGCTCGCTTTTTCGATTCTGACGCATTTTCTACTTGTGGCTCCTGTGATATATATCCTGGTAGTTGCCTTTGGACATTACAGTTTCTTCTCTTGGCATCCGATTTGCATGTCTGTTGGAGTAAGTATCAATATAATATACTATGAAAGATATAATAAGAAATTTGACAGTTAGAGTGTTCATATTTCGTGTGATTACAATACGAAAACCAATTCGATAAAATTTAAAATTAATAATTAAATTACTTTAAATATTTTAAAAAGTTGTGATAAGTAGAAATTTAGAATTTATTTATTTCTTTTTCCTAAAAATAAAAAAATTAAAACATTAATCTTTCAAAATTATCGGAAAAATAATAGCATCATTCTATCACTATATTTATTGATATAAATATGGGGATAACAATTTCAGAAGAGAATCTTTTTTACTGCAATGTTTTAATCTTTTTGTGGCAAAGTTTATTATAATTTAAATTTATATTTAATATTATAATTTAATTTTTGATATTTTTTTATCTTGTGGCGAAGGTCGGTCTTCTGATCACAGAAGCTGTCTTCAGCGTCTCCGGTGAGGCGTACATTGCTTCAAGATTACCCAGGCGTAACCGAGTGACAATACACTGGATTCTACATACGATAGGTCTAACTATAATCGGAATCGGCTTCATCATCATTATCGTCAACAAGTTCAACAACAATAAAAAGCATTTCGCCACGACTCACTCACAATTGGGCCTAGTAACGATTATACTGTCCGTTCTGACCGCTTCTTTCGGAATCCTGGCGAACAACACGGTATGGATCTATCCGCGGGTTAGACCGGTGATCATCAAGGTCGCTCATGCCTGCGGCGGCATCGGCATAGTTGTACTTTTACTGGCAACCCTCATCAATGGGACCTATACCAAATGGTGGCCCGGCACCGTCACGGGAAGGGACTTGATCTTCGCGTCACTATTTTTCGCGGGTCTCTTGATACTCGTCAAACCGATACTTGGCGCTTTCTCGAGGTGTAGAGTCATATTTGGACCACCGTCAAGCGATACGTAATTGATAAAAATCTTGCGTCTCGAGAGACAAATTAAGAAATGTGAGAAGTCGTTGCTTCAAGAAGCAAGATACGCTTGATCGATCTAATTATATCAAAAAACTAATGATTAACTAATGATATAAAAATTGGATGTCTTGTTCTCGACGTAATCCTCGTGAAATATCTAATAGAATAGCGAGAAGCCAAAGATTATAGAACAATCTTGTTAATTGAATACGTCTCATCGATCCCATCGGGAAATGTTCATTGATATGAATAATGAAGAAAGAAATATCACAATCTGCGTCAGCGAAATCAATCATGGCGAAAAAAACCCGATAGCACATCGTTGACACCACTTGGATAACAATATTTTATTGATTACACACGCATCATATACATTTATCTCGCACATTATAAATTTATACATATAAGCATATATGTATATTTGTATAGTGCTATATATATATATTTTTTTTTATAATATAATGTACATATATAATAACATAATGTATTTATTTGATATATATTTTTTCATCTTTATATATCCTTTAATTTACACGTAATAACATTTTCGAACTGTTAATGATTTTCACCTGGAAAGTTCAGTTCCTTCTCCTTTATTTTCTTTTATTTCCATAAAATTATATAAGATTATCCAACAATATGTAAACACACACATACAATCTCGCTTGTCCTCGGGATAGAATCATTTTTATTTTGTTTCACTATAACTTTTTTCTCTGTACATTTATTCAAGGCATTCTTGTATCTTGATTGTATGCTATTTTTTAAGTTCATATATAACTGTTTTACATTAAAACATCAGTATTTTAGTTCTACAATACCACTTTCTTACAGAAAATATTTGTTCTAAAGATAATCGCGCGAATCAACTGATCGAAGAAACGCGTTCTTTATATTTTCGAATATAATAATCTTGAGTAGAAGCTCTTTTTTCTACTATCTGTTTTTTTCTGTTATAAAAAAGAAGCTTCTCTTTAAAAAAAAAAACGAGAGAAAAGCTTCTTTTCCATGGTTTATTATTATTACATTTTATTATTAGGACACATTATTTTGTACTGTTCGCTCTACTGGTTGCTCGTAATGATACAATTAAAACCGTAACATCATGCGATGATAATTTTTTCAAGTACTTGACAAGTATAACGCAAAATGGAGTAATCTGTCCTTTTTTATTTATTTCAATGTAAAAATTCAATCTGTAAGATTCTCAAAATTATTCGTAAAATTAATTATTAAAACAGAAATCTAATGATGTAAGCAAAAAATGTAGCATATATCAGATTTTCTTTGTAGTAGTTTCTTTTTAGTATTTCTTTCTCTACATTTGAAATTATTTTCAAAAATAACTCGATTGAATTTAATAATGTTAGTATTATATTATCACCGCATTGTTACTGTTCTCAATGCTCATTGCTCTTAATCCTACTTATTATTAGAATAGTCAACTATTTGACTTGGCCGGTATGAGAGAACCAGTGACTAATATTATTAATTATCATTATTTTTTTTGCACGGCGAGATACTTTTAATAACCATTAGTAGAAGGCTGCGCCATACATCAGGTAACTTTTGTGTACAGTCTAAAAACATTAATATTATTAAACATTTAACTGCTCCGATGAGAGATTGATTCAAGGAGAGAAGCAATCGTAGATCTAACGGCACTTTCATAGTGTAATACATATTGGCTATAACTTTCTCGAAATTTTCAGCTTATCAAAACACATTCTTTTTCCTTACTTTCGTGTTTGTATGTTGTACAAACTTGTATAACCTAAAGTGAAAAATTCACAATGATTTTATTATTGCAATTGAACGTGTATTCATATCATTTAGAGACTGTATTAGCTTTAGTTGTGGAATTATTCAAATGTTTCCTTTACTTCCACTGCACATTCTCTAAAATCTTTAGGTTTCTAATTTTTGATTTCAATTACAAAGATTACGTTTATAAGAGATTTGATTTTCAATTTATCTATCATTTTATAGAGAAGAGAGAAAATCTTTTAAAAATAAAGAAATAAAAGAAAAGTCGATCTCTGTCAAAGATTATGCATAATATAAAATAGTAAAAGTTATCCTGAACAAGATATGCTTTAGATAATTAACATATTTATATATGTGCATCCAAATTCATATATTCAAATATATTCAAAACTAAGACTACTTTTTTATTTATGAATTTTTAACTCATTTCAAAATCGATCTTTCTTTGAAAAAAATAATTGTCTTAAGGCATCAATAGTTTTTTTTTTAATTATAGTAATAGTTGAGGTATACAATCTTTTGTATGTGTGCTAGTTTATGATTTAATATTATTCGAAAAATATTTCGCATTAAAATAAAGAATCTCAATCTTTTCTGCTAATTGCACTACTATATACTCGTCGATAAGTTTAAATTAGCTTCTTTCACGAAATTCACTAATTATCATATATTTTAAAACTTTCTTGTATCTATTTCTCCATTCGTTATCATCTTTTACTGATTGCGTATCCAAAATATCTATAACCTATTCCCTGAAAACTGTTGCACATTGAAAAGATACGTACAGTATAATAAATATTGGACACTTTTGACGATACATGTACTGTGCAAGAGATTAGTATACATTAAATTTTCTTTTCGGTTTCAGTATCTTTACACGCCTCTATCTTTATTAATTTCATCTCTCTATTTGCTAAATGTAAATTCATTTTCATGCATAATAACTCCTAATTTTTTCTATTTTATAATTAAATTACATAATTAAAATAATTAACAATCTTTGCAAATAAATATTGATTTATGTATTATGAAATAATATCATTATATCATAATACATCGATGGTACATTTTTTCAATCTCTTTTAATCACTAACTAATTTTGTACAAATACTTATATTTTTGGGCACATTTTGGCCAAAAACTTTTAACATTAATTTAATTTTTTATTCAACTTTTGCTATTATTACCAAGAAATTACTTGAACGAGAAATGTCAGTTTACTTATCATTGCAAAAAAATGTACTGTAATCTTAATTTATTATAAAAAAGATAAAAAATTTGAGCTTATATATGTTTAATAAGGCTGTTTTGAATAATCGATTAAATCATATAATCAAAACTAAATTTATAATTTAATTTATATCCAAAATATTTATAATTATAATTATAATTTAATTTATATCCAAAATAAAAGTTTTATTATTTTTGAACAATTTAGAACAATTTATGAAAAACTACAAATTAAGATATATTCTTTATAAATTATATAATTATATATTACTTATAGATTTTATAAATTGTATACACAATAAAATAATTCATATCATATAATTTCATACCATTTTCATATCATTTGACAATCGTGATTGATATTGCCAACATCATGTGAGAATATTTATCCTCAATTAGACTTACATTGGACACACTCTATCTTCGAAATGGTTATTTAAAATTTATATTATTGAATGTAAAACAAACGTGCCATATCATACCTGCTGCGAGGTTATTAGATCGGTTTTACTAGAATTCTTAAGAATCGATGGTCCGGGAAGTTTCTGAGTAGTGGGGACGGTGCTGGGCGGTTGTACCATCATCGGTTGACCGTTCACCAAAATAATCGTATCTCGTACTGAGTCATATGTTCCCGGAGGTCCTTTAAGACAGGAGTATAAATATTATAATTTGATATCCATAATCATTGACATTCGAAATAATGAAAAATCATTACCTGAGGAGGATGTACGAGTCAAAGTTTTGGAGGGTGTGAAAGAATTTTGCGATGGACCCCAGTTGGATGTCGGTTGTAACAATATTTTTATGCGATTCCATGCATTTTTATTTTTGCCTTTTCCTCTCTTTGCTTTTTCGTAAGACTCGCTGTTCTCGAGGTCATCGTCATCATTGTCATCTTCGTCATCTTCATCGTCGTAAGCTGATTGCACGCGCTGTTCTTTTAGCTGACCCTAAATTATTTTTCGTATAAAATACTTGTCACTATAATTCTGTGTTTAAATAAAGAGATCTCGCATCTTACTATAGCTAAACCAACAATGACCAAAACGGGAAGCATACTGATAACCCAGCCTAATACATCCGCCCATTTTGGATAAATGTAACTTCCATACGTGACTGGTTCGTATTTCACCCAATTAAAGCAGAGAATGAAGAATAATGCGGCGGGTGTGACAACTTTCCACATCCACGTCCAGAAAAATCTCCATAAACAACCTCGAGGCCCAATCATTTGTTGAATATTGTCTAGAAAACGATCCGCTCCGTATATCCATGCCACGAGGATGCATTCGCTTATAGCGATCAACAAAACGGACCAATTGGCAGCGTACTTGTCCATTAATTGTAGCCAGTACATCCCGGCCTATGAGAAAAAAATATAAAATATCGTTTCAATGGCGTCGCAAAAGCTATAGAAGAAGACAATTTTTCTTCTATATTTGAGAAACTGGATGCGACTCACGTTGGTGGTGAAAATGACGCCACCGGCATAGCCAATTACTGCAACTCCTAGAACGACCCAAATTTTATAACTTCTTAATGCTGGAATGCCATCGAGTATCGCCGTAGTAACAGTTTCCATGAGAGCGAATTGCGAATCGAGACCCAGAGTGAGCAGCATGATGAAGAATAATAGCGACCAAACAGGCGCAACGGGTAGCCGAGCCACAACCTACGAATTATAAAGAACCATTGAACCCCATATTTTGGAACATATTCGAGTATCAATATAATACAGCAATAAAAATCGATGAAAAAATCACATATCTGATTCAATTTAATTTTTTTATTCAGCATAAATGGATATTATAGATGAAAGATGCACACAAAAAAATACGCATAGCTTTAAGCTATAAGCATAGCATAGCATATGAATTAAGATCTAACTACATAATTGATAATTACTTCTGGATAAACAATGAACGCCAAACCAGCGCCTTCATCTACCACTGATGCCACTGGTACATCGAGCTCATGAGCAAGGAAACCGATCACTGAGAAGATGACGAGGCCGGCGAAAAAGGAAGTCCCGATATTGCTAATTGCCACAATCAAAGAGTCTTTGTAACAATTGTTGGTAAATTTATTGTATGAACTTAAAGTGATCAGACCTCCCCAGGCTGGACTCAAAGCAAAAAAGATTTGTACCGCGGCATCTCCCCATACTTTGGCAGACATTAATCTTTTCCAATCGGGAGTGAGATAGAAAAGTATCCCTTCGTTAGCGCCAGGAAGTAAAATTCCACGAACAAAAAGGATGACCTACGGAAAAATATATATGATTGTTTTATTTAAAAAAACACTAAATTTCTATTAATTACATATTAATTACAGATATACCAGAACGACGTATGGGAAAAGAGCGGTGAAGTATACGACTTTGCCGGAGCTTTGCACGCCTTTGCTCAAACAAAGGAATACGATAATCCATGCTAGAAAAAGACTAGCCGCCATGAATGGTCGAATCGATCCAGTTTCCTCAATCCCATTGCTAATTCCCAATACATGATTCCTGGAGAGATGAAAAAATATTTTCTTTGTATATCTTTTATTTCTCATTTAAATGTTGTCTCTAGACAAGAGAGTAAATTATGTATTTAACATTGCAAACTAATATTTCATATTTTAACCCTTTCGAACCTCCGGGACATATATGTCCCATCTACGAAAAAAATCATAACTTTTAAACAAATAATCCTTTTGACCTTGGCTTGTTTTATAAAGAAGAAGGTTCAAGCTACATGTAAAAAAATCACGCACTTTGAAATGTTATGTTTACAATAAAATATAATTATCTAAACTTTGCAAAAAATTAAACTTTTAGAGAATGAAGAATAATGTATATTATATTGAAAGATCATAAAATTTATGCACTTATTATAAACTTAAAGTTTTATTTAAATGTGATTATAACTTTATTATAATAAATATTATAATAGTTTATATGTATAATCAAAGTGTGCGCGAAATAAGACGACGCGGATGCAAGGCTTGCAAAAAAAAGTGTATAACAACGCCACAAGTCGAACGTGTGTGTGTGTGTGTGTGTATACATTCAGAAAAACCATAATATATATTTAAAAAAAAGTCTAAGCTCATATTTTAAATATATTGATATTTAAGCTTTTCATGATCGCCATCTTGAATCTGCATTTTGAATTTTGATAGTAAATTTGGAACCAGCACGCTCAAAAATCTATAAAACTTCATATCGCATCTTTTTTGGGAAAACCGGAAGAAAACGAAAGGGTTAAAAAAATTATATTCTTCTTATTATTATTATTAATAGAAATAAACGGGCACAAGACATACTCGCAAGGCATATGCAAAAGACTGATCATCATAAGATTAAAAAATAAATATAACTATATTATACAGAAATAGAGTAATAAATTAATGATAAAATATTGGGATCATTAATAAATTAATAATAAAATAAACTAAATAAAATCAGAAAAATATAATATTCATTACTGAATATATTCATTCCTTATATAATGTATGTCATTACTGAAAATATTCTTCAGCCGGCGGTCTTTTGATTGCATTAGTTACGTTATCGATAAGCAAACCCATCGCAGTCATTTGAGTTGAATTGAGACATTTTCTTTTGAAATAAAAAGCGTTCTGAGAGACACAAGCCTCAGCAGCATCTGGCATAAAACAATCCTCGGTACTCCATTCTTTTTCGCACTTACTCCAGGGCAATTCCCAACCGCCTATATGAAAAATTTAAATAAAAGAATATTAACTACAAAAGTTATCAACCATTATCAATTTTAACACGAATATATCTTTATAATTAAGTTTCAAAATAAAATTTTATCAAAGTAAAATTTATCAAAATCTACTATAAAATAAAATTTTGCGCATTAGATATATTTCTTCTAAAATTTAGCTTAAAAAAATTCTATTTCTTTATAATTTTGATATTATTAGTACAACAATAGCTCTAAACATTTCTGCTAATAAAGTGTCAATTTTTAAAATTTATCAGAGAATTTAAAAGTAAATCTTAAAAGTAAAATTCAGTTATATGTGTCGAAAATTTCCTACACATCAATATAATTATTTACCAAGAACCGAGGCAAATATGTAATATAGCGTCCAGGCGATGATTAAATTATAATAGAGCATTACGACGGAACTAATGAGGACCATTCCGTATCCTAAGCCGCGAAGCAAGGGGCAAAACTGCTTATAAGCTGCCACTGGTCCGAGACTAGCATATTGTCCTGTGGAATAGGAGAAAAGACAATATGTCGCGGTTGCAAATAATTCATTTTGTCACAAAATCATTAAGAAATCATCAAGATATTGTATGTTTGATATCATTGTTTCGTCTACCAAAGGAAAGTTCCATGAACATAAGAGGCAATCCGGCGATGACGAGCATCACGGTGAACGGTATCAGAAAAGCACCACCGCCGTTCGAGTAGCAGAGATACGGAAATCTCCAGACATTTCCGAGGCCTACGCTATATCCCAAGAGAGATAATAGAAAATCGAATTTCCCTGTCCAAGTTCCGCGTTCCGGGTGATCATCTTCACCGCCCTGCAAGGGCGCTTGACTATTGGCCACTGAGTATTTATCGTCATTCTATCAAAAAATTAATTTATTATTTATATTTTCTATAATATTTATTAGTTCTTTTTTTTATTTATAAATAATTTTGCAAGATACATTGATATGATATATATGAGACTCGACAGATATTCCTCAAATTAATATAAATCTGGCTTACGTCCCAGTCCAGGTAAGGACGTATTCTTGAGGATGTCTCTTCCATTTTTTATATCGATATGATCTATCGTTGTCGCAATATCAATCGTTTCTTCGTTTTCTCATGGCTACCGACTCGGATCCATTAAAGTTCAATGTTAATTGTACTAATTAGTCCTCTTTGATGAATGAACATTCTACGTGTCCATTTTTTCGAATGCTCTGTATGTAGAAATTTTTTTAGGGAATATTATTACATTAAATATTCTTCTAATGTTATATCGCATTAAAAATACAATAAACTGCTTTATTTTATTTTAAAGAAAAAAAAGATGCAAGAAAGCAAACACTTTTGCTTGCAGACAAATGTTCGCATCTCGATTTTTCGTTACTTCTATACCAAAATTCGCTACATCATTGAATAATAATTATTAACGTTCTAATTAAATTATTATAGGATTAGCATTAGGGAGATAAATACGCGTTAGAACAATGACGTAATTGATCGTTGATTGGAATTTAATTTTTTCATACAACCGAATTAAAATAAATATGAATCTAAAAATTACATAAAATTATGTTTGTTTGATTAGAAATATCTTTTTTACATTGAGGAAGGAAGATTTTTAATATTAAAAATATGTCACATATACACTTCCTTTTTTGAATGTGAAAATTAATTTTAAATTATAATCGAATTTTAATTGATTAACGTTTTTTTTTGAGATAAAGATGAAATTAGAAATAGATAAAATACTACTTAAATTAAAAATAAAGTGATGTCGAAACCAAATATGAATTTATATATTACATTTGCATCTTTATCATATATATGTCACTTACCACGTCTTTAACAACTAAAATTACACACATTCATACACTCATTCAAGCATGTTGGAACACAGACACGTTGCCGGTAAAGTCAGCTGATGATTGACACTATCGATCTACCTATCAGCCTTGACAGATACTTTTGCCAAGGTCAGATTTACACTGTCACTAAATGTCAAGGCCACGCTTGGCAGGTCTGTGATCGCGAAAAGGTAATGAAAGAAGAAGTTGGGAAAACAGCCGGGAGATGCGAGGAGAGACAAACAGATGTGGAAAATTGATTGAAGGAGCGATCCGTGCCCGGGCAACTCGCCGGCCTATCTGTCTGCTTATAAGGGAGCTTTTCTATTTGCGACCCTCTTTACCTCTCCACGACCCTGTCCGCTCACTCTCGCATTCCCACTACCCTATTCATTCTCTCTCTCTTTCGCGCCCAGACGAAACCTGTCGCGAGCCTCAAACTCTACTCAGATCGATCGATATTACTGCTCCTGCGAGCTGTGCTCCATCCTAAACCTTGTAGCTCTGTCTCACTTGGGTCACTTTCTCAGTACTATCATATATCTCATCATTTATTCCATTTAGTTTATTCATTTCAACAAAAGAGAGATGCACATGTGCACTCACGAGAAGAGATCGATGATGTTCAAAGATTAATCCATTTAATATCATTTTTAATATTATTATTTTTATCGTCAACTATTCCTTTACTCATTCATAACATTTCTATAAATTGTAGAATGACATTACTAATAAGCATTACGAGAAAAAAAGATCGAAATTTTTTTATATTAATAATTAATCTTTTTACATGTAAAACGAGGAATTACTCTTTCAAGTAATCGCAGTGTGTATAAAAAGTTTCTTAAAACTTGAAGAAAGTAATATTATTATGAAGTTATATCATATATAATATACGTAAGGAAAATTTTGTATCATATAAAGGAGTCTATCTTAATTATGCATAAATTAATTGATTGAACAAGTAAATCCGTAATTATGCAATTTAATTGATTGAACAAGTTAATCCATTAATTAAAAAATTAATTATAATAATTTATGTAAGTTTATTATAAATTATTATAAACTCAATCCCAGAAAATAAGAAAGGAATAACATTAATTTCGCTTTTCATTTAATCTTACATAATTCCTGCGAACACTACTATGAAATTATACACAATTAACAGGTAGTTATCAATCGAATCTTTCATTGATTTCCGGTGAATATTGTCATTTCTGTCAATAGAAAACTATTGTCTTCTTGTTCAGTGAATATTTTTTCATGCATCTTTCTTCGCCATTTTACATGTATAATTTTTAGAAATGCTGCAGTGATTGAGAATTGTTGTAACTGTATGTTAATAGAGATTTGCAAAATAACATAAATAGAGTAGAATGACGACTAATGAGAGCAACGTAATTGTAATAAGATTATGTATTTAAAAATAAATGCTTTCTAATGTATGTTATTTATTAAATTAAATTAAAATATTATTTTTATCGAAATGAAGACATGAGGAAGATATGTTATTTAATATATAGTTATACACTTTTTTGCAAGCCGCGTATCTGCTGTAAGACTTGGATGTTCGTCGCACGCGTCTTACTTTGCGCACATTTTGATTACACATATAAATTATTATATTTATTATAATACAGTTGATCACATTTAAATAAAACTTTAAGTTTAAATTCGATGATTTTTCGATAATTAATATACAGTTATTCTTCACTCTTCTCTCTCTTTCTCTCTGTCTCTAAAAGTTCGATTTTTTGCAAAGTTAGGTAATTATATTTTATTGTAAACGTTACATTTCAAAGTGCGCGATTTTTTATATGTAGTTCAAACCTTCTTTAAAACAAGCCAAGTCAATTTTTTTTAAGTTATAGTTTTTTTCGTAGGAGGAACATATATGTCCCGGAGATACGAAAAGGATTAAAGATCTGCCGCCAAAATGGCGACGTGAAATACAATCCGATTTATCGCACAATAAAAGCGCATAGTAAATAAGAACAGAAATAGAATCTATTCTCTGCTCCTATTTGGCGAATATTTTCTATTTCGCGTATTTATTAGTGAATAGTTTTTATTCCTTATTCCTATTGCCTGTTGCCTAGCATTGTGCAAAGGCCATCATACATAAAATTCCGTAAGCACGTAACACGTAACGTAAGAAAATCGAATTGGAGGAGCCAATACTCGACTGTGATTGGTCGATTTCCTTACGTTACATCTTACGTGTTTACGGAATTTTATATGTGATGGCCTCACCCTTGGTCCACAATCTTGCTTTAACTGATTAAGTTTCCACCGAGAGTTCGAATCGGGTCAGAGTTGGGTCAGAGTTGGCTCAGAATAGGATTTATTGGTGTTTCCACCATAAAAAGTTCACCCCAACTAACGCCCTAAGCCTTAAGAAATTAACCAATTACAGTCGAGTATTCTCTTCATACTTGACTGTGATTGGTCAATTATAATCAAGTATGAAGAGAATATTCGATATTGTAGATCGAGATTTGGGATACATTCGAAAATATTCCCCTAATTAAAATAACGTTAAATTGACCAATCCAAGCAAAGAAATCTCTGCTTCTTCTTTCTTGATTGGTCAATTAAACGTTACTCTATCCTACGGGTAAGATTTTCGAACGCATCCTTGTCGAGAGCCGTATGCGATAACTCGTGGTCTCGTTGATTCCGATTGTAAACGGTAGACATTAGTAGGCAGAATAAAAAAAGAAAAAAAGAGAGAAGGACAACAAGGACTCGTTCCCCGTGCGTATTCCCTTATTCCACGAGCCTGTCGAGTCGCATCGATCCTCGCGTGATTCGCGCGATTCGCGAATCGTCGATTTTCCTAACCTCCTAAACCTCCGAATCCTCGGGGTGCCTTCTACGCGAGAGAGGACAAATCCATCTCTTGGACTCTTTTCCTCGCTCGTAGTTCCATCTATCTATCTTCTCTCTCTGTCCTACTCGCGCTCGCTCGCTTCCACTTTCATCGCCCTCTGTTTCCCTATTCCCTCTAGTTCTTGGCAGATCTCTAACAACTCCCACTCTCGTGTCTCGACGTGCGAAAAGTGAGGGGAATCGCGAAGATCGTTCGGACACGGTGAAAAATTTGTGCGGAAATTAAACGTGTAGTGCCGTCGAGTCCCGCTTACGAAGACTTGTGGACAGCGATATATATATATTGTTGCGCGGAGTGCGGTGACAAGCACGGTGGAAGATAAAACTTCCTGTCACAATCGCCGAGTAAACAGGCAAAATTCCGACGATTTACGGTCTATGAGCGCCAAGAGTCAGGGGGACCCTGGAGAAGATCACGTTTCCAGGTGTCACGAGAGTCGTTGCGTTCTTAGTGTCGCTCGCAAAACGCCTTTTGAAATAATGCGCCGTCATGCATCTCCGACAAGAGTAGACTCTTGTCCCAAGAGTCACGCAAACGCACGGTTTCCCTCTCGGCGATGACGTTTGTGCACAAAATCCAAATTGTATCGGCCACGAAATTTTACATTGTCGAAACCTACGATCGGTGAATTCAGTCTTTGTATGAGAGATTTACGCGGATTTTCGCTATCTATCTCTTTTATTAATTCTTTCAACTTTCCAAAAATATTTTTTGGTCCTCTTTAGTTTGTTCAATTCTCACTCGCTCGTCGTCGCTCGATTATACACAGAGAACTCGTATACAGAGAGCGACGTAGCTTCATCATGAGATCGCGAAATTACAAGAATCTCTATTATTAGCGCTTTGTTTTGGTGCAACGACATTGTGTCATCCGACTTGGCGAATTATATATATGTATAATAACATATAATTCTCGAGACAATTCCCAAGTTCACTTAGCACTTTTATGTCGCATTCAAGAAAGACTCGAGCAATTTTTATTCTCTGCAAAAATTTTAGTTTTGATATTTTGTCGCAATATTGAGATATAAAATGCAATTTTATATTTATATATTTATATAAAATGCAATGATTATATTTATATAAACAGAGATAGACAAGAATAAATGTTAAACTTTTCTTATGTGTCGAAACTCTAATATATAAGCATTTATTTTTGTGTGACATAGTCTTACAACAAATATATTTTCTCTCTATGTATTATATATTTTCAGAAATTATGCAAGTAAAGACCAGCATAAATAGGCATGACTATTTGTTCTTTGCATATATTTTATATATATTTTTTACTGTCATCTTTATAGGGTAAGAGCAGAGAGTCCTTGCAGCGACATGAAGCGTGCAGCTGCAAAAAAGCTTATTGAACGGTACTTTTACCAACTTACGGATGGATGTGGAAACCCTCATTGTGACAATCAGCATTGTGCCTCGAGTGGCAAAGTATGACCTCAATGCACATTTGTGCAGCTATTGTAAGAATTGGTTGATTTCCTACTTATGCATTTTATTCTGTTTTATTCTAGGTTACTAATCTTACTCCAAATCAAGCAGCTGCTCAAGCAATACAATTATTTTCGCAAGAAGCTAGACTTTGCGATGGTACACAACCTAGTAAAGTCGCTCGGACTACTATAGAGCCAGGGCAAACGTCGTTAGCTAAGAGTCTACCTGTAAAAAGCGTTAATCCTACGAGCTCCGATGAAGGTATCTCAAGTTGATTTAATGAAGCTTCGACTTTGGTTCAAAGGTTAAATTATAAATTATGACAATATGCAAAACTAGATGGTAATTGTAGATTATACTTTACAGATGTAAGTAAATTTGAAACATTTTGATTTCTTATTAGGAAAACAAGAGCCATATCTTACAGAAGCCAAACTTCTGGATATTATAGAAAAATGTAAAGCGGAAGATTCATATTCTTTATTAATTCGCACTTTGGGAGAAGTGTTTTCATCGGGAAAGGCATTAAGTCTCAGCTTTCAAAAAACTGAGAAGAGTAATTCTCCTTTGGCGGCGCTTCTCGAACGGGCGCCAGATACTTTATTAAGGCCACCTGCGGATTTAAATAAAGAAGCAGTACGATCTCTTCAAGGAGAGGATAAGGAAGAGGATAGCAGTGATCCATCGCCTACAGTTCCTAATAATGATGATACTAGTGTTGATTTACCATCTGTTCGTAGAGCTTTTGAAGCACTTTGGTCTCTTCCAGGTGTGAAAAAAATTTTACCTAATATGTTTAATTATATGTAATTAATTTATTACATTTATTATTAAAGTTAAATGTTTCTTTATGTTTTCTAAATCATTAGTATATAACTATTAATTTATAAAGAACACATTTTAAGACTTTAAATATAATGTCATTGATAAATATATGCTTTTCATTTTAATTAGGTGAAGTATTTGAATCAGCTTTGGTCAATGCATTAGTTACTTTGGCAGATGACATAGAATTAGATCTAAGAGTATTTCGCATAGTACGCTGGGACAGTATGGACAGTTTGTTGAATGTATTTCTCATTGTCTTTGAAATTCCGATGCTCGGAAATAGCGAATATCTGGAATTAGCCCTCCATATGTTATGTAAAGCATTGAGTTGTTTACCAATAGTAGCTCAAGCTAAGTTGGCACGTGTTTGGGCTAAACATTGCAAATCGCGGCTTCCAAATCTTCTACAGGCGCTTCAAGAACTCATCACTGTCAAAGTGCGTCTCCTATTTTTTTAATAGCACTGATTTCATTTGCATCAATTTTAAAATGACCACTATCTTCCCATCTTTATTTCCCATAGTTTTGAAAACTTTAATACTATGTTACAGGTAATAGGAGGATCCTTTACACGCGATTATTGCGTCCAAGATGCAGATACCATTACCGCACCTACAAAAGTTATGAAAATTCTATACTATGCGAGTATGTTGGCTGGAGAATTAGATCCTCCTGAGATGATATTGGGCGATGAGGCCGAATCGGCAAGCAGCGATAAAACTACATCACGATCAGCGATATCAGGACAAATTCCTCAGGTATTATCTCTAATGGTATTCTCAGAAGGTGTATTTATTACATTGCTTGTCTATGTTACATAAAATATTTATTTCAGGATGCATTAGCGATAGAATTAGGAATCAACGCACTAGACGCACGTAAACCTTTCATACCATTTACCGATTTCTACAATGAACCACTTAGCGATGCCATAGAAATGGACAAAGATTTTGCTTATTACAAGAGTGAAGAACCGATGAAATTTAGTTTTATGAATTATGCTTTTGTTCTTACACCAGCCACTAAAACTTTGGGTTTATATTATGATAATCGCATTAGAATGTATAGCGAACGACGTATGAGTTTTTTACAAACTGTTGTCGGACAACCTACCAATCCATATCTCAGATTAAAGGTTTGTTAATAAGGCGATCGATCATAGAAAACGTCAATATACAAGTTACATTCTTGCTTAAACAGGTGAGGAGGGATCATTTGATAGATGATGCATTGGTGGAATTGGAAATGGTAGCTATGGAAAATCCATCCGACTTGAAGAAGCAATTAGTCGTCGAATTTGAAGGAGAGCAAGGTGTCGATGAAGGCGGTGTATCTAAAGAATTTTTTCAACTAGTTGTAGAAGAAATTTTTAATCCTGATTATGGCATGTTCACAACCCAGGTCAGAACTTACTTCAATTAAATTAAGTAAGCTAAAGTAATTTTTGTTTTTTTTCTTTTTATTTATTTTTTAATGCTAAAACTAAAAATTTATTAATTTCTATGATAAAGTTTTTCATTTTTTATATTTCAATCTTTATGAAAGAAAGATGCATAATCACATATATAGTCACTTTTCATAATCATAATTTAATTTTAAAATGTGATCATTTCTTTATTTCAGGAAGATACACAAATGACATGGTTCAATCCGACATCGTTTGAAAGTGATGCGCAGTTTACGCTAATAGGCATCGTCCTTGGCTTAGCAATTTATAATAATGTAATTTTAGATGTACGTTTTCCAATGGTAGTTTACAGAAAACTGCTAGGCAGAAAAGGTGCTTTCGCGGATCTCGAAGATTGGAGTCCAACGTTATATCGAACAATGAAGGAATTAATGGAATATACGGGAGATGATATGCCGGAGACATTTATGCAAACTTTCCGAGTAGGTTACAGGTGAGTTACGACTGGGTATATAATTACAATGAGATTACAAAAAAAAATCTTGAAGTAAGTGTGAATATTGTATCTTCATTTTATAGAGACGTGTTTGGGTCGTTATCGTTCCACGAACTCAAAGAGAACGGCGACGAATTATACGTTACACAGGAAAATAAAAAGGAATTTGCCGATCTTTATGCGGATTTTTTGCTCAACAAGTCCGTGGAGAGACAATTTAACGCCTTCAGACGTGGCTTCCAGATGGTTACAGACGAGAGCCCGCTCGCATTACTCTTCAGGCCCGAAGAAATTGAGCAGGTATAACTATACACAATCGTTGATATAGCGTAAATGTTATATCGAACGATTATTCTCACGATATTTGATACGCGCGCAGCTTGTTTGCGGAAGCAAAATATTCGATTTCGCCGAACTGGAAGCAGCTACGGAATACGAAGGCGGCTATACTGTTGACAGTGAAGCGGTACGTAACTTTTGGCGCGTAGCGCATTCTCTACCACCTGAAAGTCAACGGAGGCTTCTTCAATTCACTACCGGTAGCGATCGAGTTCCGGTCGGCGGTCTTTCAAGGCTCAAAATGGTCATTGCCAGACATGGTCCAGATTCCGATAGGTAAATTAATTAACGTTAATTTTCATTTATATAATAAGCATACAATTAACACATGTATATTTTCAGATTGCCAATCGCGCACACATGCTTTAATGTTTTATTATTACCGGATTACAGTACAATAGAGAAACTACAAGATCGCTTATTGAAAGCGATTAATTATTCAAAGGGTTTTGGCATGTTATGAGCATGCTGCACATCACCCCTCTCTCCCCCAGTCTTTCGAATTATATTCGACATGGTGAAACTCGATTCCCTTTATCATTTTAATCACAGCTATAATATTTGGAAGTATCTATCATAATAATTGAAAATTGTGCCAGTGCGTGGAAACATTGCTTGTTGTGAATATGAATTGACAACAAAAGGCTCCTAACATTCTAAAATACTTCAACGAATCAAAGAGAGAGATTGAGTCCTTTGTACAAAACAGATATAACTTGAAAAACGCTTCACAACTATTCTTGCATGCAAGAATCGCTTGTATCATACTGTGTACTTTTTCTATTGAAGTAAAAATAATGAATATTGATTTCATTAGCCATTTCGAAATGATCGAGAGAAGAAGTGCAAAAAATGAATGCAAGTGTAAAAATACGGAAAACCAAACGAAACCGCATTATAGAAATAAATATGTAACTTTAGCAAAACATAGTCAACAAAAACAGAATGCGTTTCGGGAACTCGACGGTTGCAGCCGTTATGTATTTCATTAGATGATGAGAGTTAGTTTACGGAATTGAATATTTTTTTTATTCTTAATAAAGCTAAATTGAATAATCTTTTTTTTTAACATGCATTAAACACAAATCATCAATTTTTGATTTAATTTGTGTTATTTTAATGCAAAGTATCAAAACTTCATTGATTTTGTAGACAATTTAATATATTTATGATGTTAACAAATAGCATAATATTTGGTTCAAAGATAAAGTAGATAAGATTAAAATTGATTTATATTTATAAATATAATTTTCATATGCAAAAACAAAAGATTTGATTGTACATAATAATATCTTAAAGTTGTAATCAGTCACAGATGTATAGCTATCGTTTAGCTTCCTAAACGCATCTGATGCCTGATGCTGCAAAGCCGAAGATAATCTTTTTGCAAAAAACACATTGAACTGATGTCACCTAGACTTTTTTTTTCTTTGTAAAATAAGATGTGAGATAATGGCGCTTTTATATGTATATTTTCTTTCACTTTCTACATTTTTCTCATGCATCACGCGCGTCATGATCAAGTATAGTATCAAATAAAAATTGAATTTGTATAAACATTTATATAATAGACAGCATTCTCTTCAACGGCTGACATTGTCAATCGTTTTATTGTTATTCGCGTGACAATAAAGCTCTTGAAACAAAAAAGCAAAATCGTTATCTTCTGGTCACTCTATCCCTTCCCTAGTTTTTGGGAGCCTTTTAGTCCCGATCTACAGATAATATAAGCCTTAAGAAATTGACCAATCATAGTCGAGTATTCTCTTCATACTTTACTGTGATTGGTCAATCTCTTAAGCCTTAAGAAATTGACCAATCACAGTAAAGTATGAAGAGAATACTCGGCTATGATTGGTCAATTTCTTAAGGCTTAGGGCTTAAATTATCTATTGTAGATCCGGCCTTAACAATACTAATCTAACATCTAACCTTACTTGGTTTTACAGATTTCGTAAAGCTAGGTTAGTTTGTAGCACGCGCTACGAGTAAGTAATATGTCATTTGTAACAACTTTAATATAGAGTCTACTTTTCGCTTTTCGTCATCAGTTTTATTTTTGTAATCAATTTTAATTTTCTCATATTAATTATATTAATTGTATACAAATATGAATTTGTATCTAATAGACCGAAAGCAGGTGACCTATGCATTTTGAGGTATTTAAGTTAACCTAAAAATGGAGCACACCAAATCATTTTTCTTATCGGTTACTCAACGTATTTTTAGCAACTGGACAGCTTTAAAGGTGAGCTCCTATAATCTTTATAATCTTATGTTAACGTTAACAAGAATAATTTTTTGTTATATTTGAAGCATAATTTTTTTGTTGCAATTGCACTTTTTACACAGTGCTTATTTTTATCCTCATTTTCTTATTAAGTTTTATATAAGCATAAAATTCTTTAATTTTAAAGAGGTGTAATGTAGAAAACAATCTTTTTAATTTTGCTCTTTTTAAATGTAAAAAATATATCATAATGTGTAGCTCGAGATGAGCTGGAAGTTCTAGGACCTGTGATAAAACTTATGACTTATGATAAAACTTTATCCATTTTTAGTTGGCAGTAGAACATGGCATGGGCTCAGTAGAAAGAGCAATAGAATTTTGTCCGTATATAACAGAAGTATTGTATATGAATGGTTAGTTGCTTTTACTATTTCTTATTATACAAGAATAACATTATAAATTGTATTGAATTGCATTGAATTATTCTATAGAGGGATTGACCAGTGATCAGATTGCTGCCGAAATAGAGGATTATATGGATGAACAACTTAACACGATACTGGAAGATAATAGTACTGTACAAGTAGCAGAAGAATTATTAAGATTTTATCGATTTTGCATAGAAGGTAATGAATCTACAGCCAAAGTGGAACTTGAAAAATTACCACCGTTACAGTCTTGGTTTACTTGTGAACGACCTACTCGAGCTACTCGTTCTCTGCCAGTAAAACAAGATAGCAGCTCGGATGAGGATATGGATGTGGATAAAAGTGAACAGGAAGCTGATGGATGGACAGTAGTTACAAACAAGCGAAATAGATAATTTCCAACTTTGTATAAAACATATCTTTACTTAGTGCTTTTCTTTTTTGTATATATAAAAGAGTCCAAAGACATAAGAAATAAAGAAAAAAAAGAGAGTCAGACGCATATGTTATATCTCAATGTAACATATATGCATATGTTCCATAAAATGTAACATATATGCATATGTTCCATGTAAATTCCAGCACTATAAAATTACCTAGAAAATGTTTTACCTAAAGCAGCCTCTTAAAGCATTGCTAATTATCATTTAGCAAGCGTTTCTTCTATATCTACAAAAGAAAAAGAAAAATCTATTTTTGTTCTTTACATAAAAAAAGAAAAGATGCTTAATAATATATTAAAGGTTATATCTTAAAGGTATTACCTTTTTCATTTTGGGATAGACGGACGGTAAAGTAGCCGTTATGGTGTATACTCTGATCTTTTATCGTACTAGGTTGCTTTCTTTCGCCGGGTCCCGCCAAACTCAATATTACGGGCAGAAATAGCAACCCGTGAAACAAACCAAACAGCACTACTGATGTGAATAGCTGGAATAAATACGAGATTATTGCATCTCAGTTTATTTCGCGACAATTGTATTTTTAATGAGCATGATTTATACCTTAAAGAAAGTCATGAAAACGTAAGCTTTGCTAAAACCTAACAGGACAAAGGCGATGAATGTGCTCAAACCACCGTTAAATACTGCCGGTCCAATAACACTGAGCGTTGTCAATGCGCGTTCTAAAAGATAAAAAGTAATGTTTCTTAATCTCTCTAACGGACATTGCATTTTCTTTATAAGAAATATTAATTTTATTCAATGTTTAATAAATTTAAATAATATCTATATTTAAAGAAATAAATTTTTAATCATATAATCTATAATTAATTTGAATAAATTTTATATTAAAAAATTTTATATGAAATAAAAATATGCTTTTACTCTCAATACATACATATTCCTATTATTATTATAATAGGAAATTATGATTATTAATGACCTTGTTTACTGCCGCTCGAGCGTATGAACTCTAGTCCAATATGTGAAGCATAATCAACTGCCAATCCTGCGCAAAGCAAGATCATAATGGTCGACGAGATTTCGACGGTCAATCCTAGGAAGTACATCGAACCCAGAAGATCGATGAGTGTGAAAAACACGCAACATATTACCCAAAACGTTGTAATTAAATTCCTAAGTAACACTAACGTTACTAATCCTACCGCCACAATCTCCAGACTCAAGTTCCTGATTAATTCTTCACCGATAATCTGCGCAGATTGATTAATCCACAAAATATTTGATTAATGAGATAAAAAATTTTGCAACAATTTATTTACCTTATTCGATGCCCATGTTATATAATCCAACGAATAAATCGCAATATACTCGTATCCTTCAGTAAAATTCACGCATTTTATGCCGTTTCTCAGCGATTGCATAGCCTTTATTTGATCGGATGTCGTGCTTATGGGGATATGTTGCACTGGAATCTGCGTTGTCTGAAATTGTCATGCGTTTTTCCCGTATGAAAAAATATATTTCACAAACATTTGCAAGCGTATAAAAATATATCGTTATTTTTTACATACTGTGATATTATAGTCATTAAAGGATTTTTACATACTGTGATATTATAGTCATTAAAGGGTAATTTGCTGAATTTCATATCCTGGATATATGCTCGGCCCTTTACAGAGAACAAGAGAAATTCCGTGAGATGATTGTAATATTCATCTTTGTCCTCTACATTTCGTGCTAATGAAAGATAATAAAAAATTAGATGTATTTTATTATAATTTAATTTTTTCTCGCATGATTATATTTTTATATCTCGTGGTTTGATAGTCAAATCTTACATCATTTTACTATGCGTCAGTTAAATTACCTTTGTTGGTTTTGTTCAACCATTTTTGGTACGCCATAAACCATGGGTCGAGAGTATGATTATTGATGTACGGATTTTGCATGAGAATGTCCGCCAACTGAACCAGCGCTTGATGATCCTCGTAATAATTTACACCCGTCAAGTATATGTTGACATGTTTACCGTTCTTGGGAAAGTATTCCTTTAATTTATTGTGAAACTGTATAGGGTAAGATTCCTGATTCAGATACACAAGTGGATCAAAGTTCTGAGTTAATTGAAATATCGCCCACACATTGATGCCTAACAAAGAAGCGGTGACTAGCAGAATAATCGTTTTCACAGATGTTTTCATCATGTAAGGTCCGACGTATTTTTCGAAGATGGACCTCTGAAAGTTTTGTTTACTGCATTCATTCTGTCTCCAATTGGGACGTGGTCGGCAACAACAACCGTCTTTCTTCGCTGCCAATCGTCTTTCATCGAATACCAGACAGCTGACGAAGAATGTGATCTCGTAGATGTAAAGAAACAATATACCCATTGCGGCGAACATACAGAAGGATTTTAAGAAAGGCAAGACCGTCGTCATGCCGATAGCGAAAGCTACCATGTTGGTGAAAGATGTAACGGTAATGGACATACCTGTAAACGTGAGCAAAAATATCAATTGAATTATTTATTGAATTATTTATTGATTATTTATTGAATTATTTAGGATATCCTACTTTAATGATGGATTCTATTAATTCATCTAAAGCATTTGCACCCATAAGTTCGTAGTAATATAAGCTTCTATTTTCTAAGTTTTTAAACATACAGAGTGTCCCAAAAGTCCCGGACTGGTCGAATATTTTATAGCTTAAGCTACACGAATATGTAATAAAAAATAGGGGGTTCCATTTAAGAAATTGACGGTGATCTTCACGTGACTTTCAAATGACTCTCCCATGTCAAATCATTTGCCACTATCTGATGGCCCCCTTCAAGCCATACAACTTTTGTCTGAAACATTTCTTTCTAAAGTGCATAGTTTATGAAATATTCGACCGGTCTTTTGGGACACCCTATATATTTTTAATACACAATTCAATAAACGATAACGCGTATTATTTCTATTTCTTTTTGTCGCACCTGATATTTGAATAGACTTCGCGATACGGGTAGAAATATCCGAGGACTTGTCCGTTTCCGACATAATCTCGAGGTTCTGCATGATGACAAACATGTCGTCGACGCCAATGCCGAGCAACAGAAATGGCAGAACCGGGTGTACGGGTCCATAGAAAAACCCCATGTAATAACAGACTCCGTAGGACGACAGGATAGCTTGACCAACCACGGAGATGCCCATGAGAGAAAGATATATCCGTTGATGAATCACATTGCATCGACCAATCATCACGATTACATAGATCAGGATCAGCGATATGCCGCAAAATAACACGGTCACGTTGCTGTTGATCACCTCGTGCAGTATGTCCTGGTAGCTGCGCAGTGTCACCGCATAGATCTCCATGCCCGGTGGTAAGGTGCGATTCGAATGTAGTACTCTCTCAATGAACTCAGTCTCCCATTCTGGTGAGTGTGGATTACTTTTTTTCAGCAACCAGTACATTAATGTCGCCTTTGCGCCCTTCACCTTGCCGTTCGCGTCATATTCGATACCTCCCAATAATGGCGCGATATCGGATAATATATCTTTGGTATTCCTGTGTAAAATTAATTACTGCATCAGAAATAAATAAAAAATATGTGTGTATATGTGTATATGCGCACGTGCTATTAACTATTAGCATATTTCGAAATAAAATTTAGAAAAAATGCAAAATAAAATCTAATTGAAATATAATTGAATCGACATTAAAAGTAATATGCTATATATTTATATGCTATATATAATTTGTATGCTTATATTAAATTTTATGCGAAGATCTTGAATGATTTAATCGTATCAATTTTAATATAATTACGTAAAGTTTCAGCAACTCACGTATTTTGCAAAGTCATGGAAATGTCCCTAAGTATCTCTTTTTTCGTTAATTTTTCAATACTTTCGTTACCGTTTTTCTGCCATAATTTCAAGAGTGTTTTGTAAATACAAGGGTCTTTTCCCATCGTCTCATTTATAATAGGCAGATATCCTTCGGGGAAATCGGTTTTATCCATAGTTTCCCATTTATCATCTTCTTGAAACCATGTAAAGTAGCTGGAATATAATGCAAATGCAGTAAATTTATTTGAAATTAATTTTCATACATTTAAGAAAAAATCGTACGTATAATAAAAAAATATTTACCCAGCACACACATCTTTCCAAGTGTTATTTTTTACGACTATGCTTTTCACATCTCTCTCGATATCTTGAATCTATAATTAAAAAGTCAACCATTACGATCGAAATATAATCGAAATAATATACATACTTTGTGATCTTTGTAGTCTTTATAAAGAATGTCTATAAAAAAATGCATATTTAAATAAATATTTAAAAAGTATACTTATGCCACGTAACAAATCCTTATGAAACATACAACGTAAAAACGCTTATGATATACAACATAAAAAGGCTTATGAGCATCAATGTTAATTAATGTTAGATTAATTATATACATTACATACTAATGATTTTGATGTAATGTGTATATATATAGCGAATCTTATTTTTAAAAATATATATACAAAAAAATACAATCTGTGATGATAAATTAGACTCTTTTTTTTGCTGGTCGATTTTTAAACAACTAAAAGCCTAATAAAAATTGTTTTCTCACGGAAATTTTATAAACAAATGTAAAATAATTGATTTAATTATCGCGAAAAGAATTGTGCATTAATAGAAAAGAACCTTCGTTGATACTCGTATAATTCATGATCGCCTATGTACCGATCGCAGCACTTCGGGATCCAGTATGTTGGGGGCAACGATTATGATGCTTTCAGATCTGAGATCGTCCCGAAAGTGCTCCTTTACCCACAAAGCATCCTTGCGAATTACAGAATCCGTTGGCAGGTAGAGTTCAATCTCGTCAATCTCCTCCTTCCAGAGTAATAATCCCAAGCCACAAACGAGGTTTAGACAAAGGGTCATGAGTATCCAAAGCCATGGCTTTGTAGCTATACTAAATCCGATCCTGAAGAAGACACACGAAAACAAGGGTAACAAAAAGATTAAAAGATGAAATTAAATAAAAAGTAAATTAAATAAAAGATATAAACCAATATTAAACGTGTTAATATTAAATATACAAAAAATAAAAGAGAATAACTAAATAAATAAAAATTAATTCGATAAAGATCGACTTCATTGTATCCATTGAAAGAGATTAAAACTGAATGCAACGCCAACCCCAGGTACCTTATATTAAATCATATAAATTCAATCCGTGATCATATGATCGTGAGAGAGACAATGGTAATCGATAAGTTGAGGTCGATGACAATGATCTCTGAATCACATAAATAAGACTAAATCCGATCCTGAAGAAGACACACGAAAACAAAGGTAACAAAAAGATTAAAAGATGAAATTAAATAAAAAGTAAATAAAAGATATAAACCAATATTAAACGTGTTAATATTAAATATACAAAAAATAAAAGAGAATAACTAAATAAATAAAAATTAATTCGATAAAGATCGACTTCATTATATCCATTGAAAATATTAAAACTGAATGCAACGCCAGCCCCAGGTATCTTATATATTAAATCATATAAATTCAATCCGTGATCATATGATCGTGAGAGAGACAATGGTAATCGATAAGTTGAGGTCGATGACAATGATCTCTGAATCACATAAATAAGATAGAAGATAAAGAAACAAAAATACAAATGTCCCATCGTCAGAATTGATATATATTAATTTATTTGCAATTCAATTCAACATTTTGATATTTCTGCTAATTTTTATTGGGAAAAATATACTCGCTAAAAGTGAATTAGTGAAAATATCACTAATTTAAACAGTAAAATAAGATTTCACTGAGAATCAGTGAGTATTTTACTGATTTTCCATAGTGGAAATGCTTATTTTTTTTGTTATTTTATTTTATATCTCACTGATTATGGTCAGTTAAAATAAAATTCACTATAAAACCAGTAAATTTCATTGTAAAACCAGTAATCGCTAGTTCGTTCGTTTACCGCTATCGTTGATCGCTCTCTCGTATTTAGTTTTAGTCATAAGAATTATATAAAGTTTGGAAAGAGCGACAGATAAAATTAGAAGTATTACTTCGATTTAATTTCTGATACAATCTCAAGAGAGACTTCAGGTATTAAATCGATCTTATATAAGTCGGACAAATAAATGTCTGACGACTTAATAAATATTATGAAGAGATGAATTATAGTTTAATATTACTGACGATAGAAAGAAATATTACTGATATTGAGAAATATTACTGATTGAAACAGTCAAAATTATTAACTGATTCTTTCAATAAAATATCACTGATTTACAGTGCTATACTTATAACTACTGTATAATCTGTGACTATTTACTGTTTTTGAGCGATAATACACTGATTTACTTTTAGAGAGTACATACATTTATAATAATTAGTTAAAAATTTTCATTAAATTAGATAGATTTTATAGATATTGATAAATTTATACAGATATTGTATTTTTATTAATTTGCGGAAAATATTTTCCAGGGCCATTTGAAATCATAGACTTTGAAACCTGTTTCTAGTTGTGCAGCTAATTGCTAACTAGATGCATTCAAGATGATTTCAGGGTCACACGCAAACAAATTTTCTCGAGATGAGACTTAATTTCTTTCTTACCATGTCAACTATCATTCAAGTCACTTAAGCTATTAATTAATCATTAAATAGAGACGAAGGAAAAAAATACTCTTTGACACGAAAATCGATAGAGTTTTTTAGATTGTTTTTGCGCTGCTTATAAATGAGATCTTTGATTTTCTCAGACATGCAACATCACAAACAAGAAATTTGCACAAGACGCACTTGAAGAATTATATAATACGACATACGTTACAAATTAATAGTTTCCATAATTACTTGAAATACGTTAAAAATTAATAGTTTTCGTAATCCTACGGATATATTGTATAAGTATAAAAAACATGAAGTATTAATATAATGAAAAAATAAAAACAAAAAAAAAATATATATATATATATATATATATATATATATATATATATATATATTACAGAAGAAGAATACTTGATAAATCTTTACGATAAATTAGAAAACAAAATTATCTACACATATTAAGGGCCATTATTAAGATGATACTGCAATATATCTTCATATAATCATTAATTCGATAAACATTTGTTTACAAATAGCTTTCGAAAGAACAGAGATGCTAATCTGTTTTAAATTTTAAAAATTAATAAATTTTAAAATTCCATAAAATAACATCGTGTTTAGAAATATTTTGGTATGTATATAAATTTTTAATTCTTTTGTATTTTTTATAATACTCCTAACTATTTAACTACATTTCTTCTCATATTTAAAATTTTATAATAATTTATATATAATTTTTACTACAAATGCACAATTTTATTGTTCTCTCTCTTTCTGTAATGTTCCTGTTCAGGATTCAAAGATTATAGTAATATTAATTAGCAAGGCCTTGAAAAGTTCAGTTCTAAAGAAATGATTAAATTTTAATTTTAATTTTCACAAAACAATTTACTTAACGGAACTTTATTTCCATGAAATTTATTTGATTGACAATGAAGAATGTGAATAATCAAGCACTGCGATCTTACTGTGACGTTGCGAAAATTGGTTGAAACCAGCTTACTAACCTAGTAACAGTTAATATACGTGACGATGTCATCTATTTCTTCCATTTGGAACTGATTATCTCGATGACTCGAGAAAGAGACTTGTAATGACATAATGCGAAAAAGCATTCGAGTCTTTGACAGTTGGACATAATCATAATATATTAGACATAATTTTCTAATGGAAATAATTTTTCTAATGCTTTCTAAATATAAAATTTGATTTATTCAGACAAATAATAAAGGAGAAAGAAAAAAAGAGAGAATTACCTCAAGTTATAATTGTAAGATATAATTATAAATTTGTAATTATACATAATAATATAATTTAATTATTCGATAATTCTTAAAAGTATCTTGTTTTGATAAACTTGAGGTAAATTTTTTTCTTTGTTTTTCAGATTTCCTCCGAATCGCGAATTAGTAATGATAAGAATTTGAAATCACACTTGTGGCCGTCTTAAAATCGATAACGCAGCAGATGTACAACGCATCGTAAATACTTATCAAAATACTTTCATTTATTTACGATAATAGCGTATAACTTTATCGTAATTACTGTTTTCTCTTGATACGAAATTAAGATATCTCGACCGTTTTTTATCTATCTTTCATATAAAATATTTTGTTATTATATATTTCCATACTTTATATACTTCTTATATACTTCTAAGTCTCAGATTATATAATTATTAGTCTCTAAGTCTATAATTATTAAATTATATACTTTTGATGCATATATAATGCTACATTATAATTTTAAAGAATTGTATGTTGTTCATATATCATTAGAAAATGCTTTCAGAATACATAATTGTTTCTCATAATATTAAACTGACAAAAACTTATTGATCGTTTGTGGCATCGCATAAAATGCATAGCATTGCATCGCATTATAGAGAAGATATAGCAAACAAAGGATTAAAGAAACCTTCGCGGAGTGAAAGCGAAACCTTTGACTTTATCAAGATTCTTTCTGTTTCTTGTGGAAGGTCTCTCTCTTTCTCTCTTTAATTCAATCTCGTCTATCTCAAAGCATCGTTTATCTTTTGTTAATCTATTGTAAACAAAGAAAAGACGCTACAGGAAAACAGAAATACACATGCAAATTAGCTTTTGCATTATATATCTCGACGCTGATTAATTCTGTTACGCAGTGACTTGGATTGAATTGATTAAACATTAATCTAGATTAACTGAAAATTTGTTTGAATAATTAAATGTCTTCTCAAAGAAAATACGCTAGAGAAGATATTAAACGTATAGATCATGCAAGATAAAATGTGATAGGCAGATAGCTATCCATTTCGAATAATTTAAAAGACTAAAAAAATTTCCTTTCGATGCATGTTGTATAAATATAAGGAACTGCATACATAAGGAATTTTCCTATTTGAGACGATCTATCTGACTGACGATCTGTCATTTATTATTCATGAATTCTTCTGCCGATCTGATTGAACGTTGATCTCTTCGGCAAAGTTTTCAATTTTTATCATATTAGATATCTTTTTCTAATAAATTTCTTAGTTTTTAGTTATATACGTATTCTTAGTTATACAAATATTTTAACGTAAAAAGTTTATTTGAAATCAAACGTACAAAATATTCAAAAGTGATTGGATAGATAACAACGATCAGTGATTCGACATTTTACATTTGACATTGCGCTGATTATGTTTTTTTGTATATTTTTGAATTGTGTTTTTCTACGATCGACATTGAAAAGGATCCAGAAAGGATCGAAACGTTTGCGTTTTTTTTTTGGTATTGAGTTCTTAGCTCAAGCATCCTTTGTTCTTTCTGGCAAAATCATATGTTATTCTAAATATATAATAATAGATTTTTATATGAGGTTGCATCGTTTTTCAACGCCGGTGGTTTTTTCATTTGCCTTTTTATAAATTTTTATGAAAATATTCCTTCATATTCAACTATTATTCACTTTCTTCTTTTTTTTTATTTTATTTCTACTTTCTATATCCTAGTTTATTATTTCTTCCTCTACATGAGAAAAAGAGAGAGAACTCCCTGAATATATATTTATTTTATTCCAACCACAGAGAACGTGCAAACGAGCAGCTCACGGCACGCTGGGTGCATCCAACCGAGAATTCGTTTCGTGACTACTCTTTTTATTCCGCTAACACATCCTTTGAATTCTCGAAATGGAAGAAAAGAAACGAGAGAGATTCAGAATTGAGAGTGCAAGAAATAAATAGAGAAGCCCTCTCGAAGCTCCGCAAACAACATGGAAAGCAAATAAACAATGCATTTCTATCTACATGGATGGTAGTCGGGAATCCAGCGATGGGGTGCGGGAAACCCCCTATTGCAGGCTTCCGGGCCAGAAGCGGGAAAAGGGGGACACGACTATGCGTACTTCCGCACACTCACCGGTAAAATATCCGATCGGCATTCAAGTGAAAGTCGAGCAGCAGCTCCTTACAGCGATTCCACGTGATGATGGTCGTTCTGCTCGGTTCGTCGTCGGTCGTCGATGCGGCTGTCGATGCAGTTGTCGATGCAGTCGTCGATGCAGCCGTCGTCGGCCGCTCACCGTCATCGCGAGCCATTTCGGCGATGTTCGCTACCGCGTCCGATTGTTGACTGGCGCTCCCGCGGTCGCTCTTTATGTCGCCGACTGACTGGCTGACTGCTTGGTTGGCTAACTCGCTCGCGAGTGAGCTGGTATCATTCGCAGTAGCGCCGAATCCGTCCGGGTCGGGCGGCGGGATAGATTCCGTGCACGTGCATTACGTAGACGCATGCAGTTGACAGGTACATCGAACATCGCGACAGCGATATCTCGTAGATGTATTGCGATGATGTATTGCTCGTATCTTTTCGCCGATATCATGTATAGATTATAAGTTGCGTATTGTGCATGCAACTTTTTTTTACCACACTCCCATAATTTTGTCCGTGCTGTTGTGATTATTGCAAGCGATACACTTTTTTCGCTGACTTGAGGTACTGTCGGAATCTCTATCTCCGTAGAAGCTTATGTAACTGCTCGGCTGTGGACTGTGTTCTCTCCTCGTTTTTCAGTCGTTTGATTACGAATATATTTGGACAGTTTCTGAAACAAATATTTCGATTTAATTTCAACGAAAAAAACGGAGCTCTATGGAGACCTCGTGGTTACCATTATTTATATACGCAGTGTCAAAATCATACTTGCATATCACACCGCTGCACATGTTCAAGCACTATGCTAAACACCAATGTATATGAAGTTAATCCCCCCACTTAACAACCGTGAGGCTTTAAACATAACAGATGTCTATCTCCTCTATTGTCATTATTACTTAATAGCTGATGCACACATGCAGACACTCATTTCGCGCGAAGTAAAATTTGAGTTTTATACTGTAGCTAACTAAAGCTATAAAATATTAAATGATCGAACAACATTATTTGTGATAGTTATAAAAAGTTGCTAGAGTTGTATGTATTCCAAAAATAAAACGTATTAAATTTTTATACTGATTTCTTACACTATAATATTTTTTTAAAATATAATTATTGTTTATATTATGACTAATTATCTAAATATCAGTGAAGATGTCAGTGTAATGATGTAATAGCATATATGCGATGTAAATGCACCGGATGAGCGCAAATACCTAGTACATGTGCACCGAATATTACTGAATATGTGGAGAATGGAGGAAGAGCTTTTAATACAAGTGTACTAAATGAACGCATAAATGAATAAGTAAAAAATTAATTGGAGTCTTGACACGAGAATGTTAGCCAACGCAAAACGAAATACAAATTCTCATCGTACTAAATATAATAGGTAGCAAAAATAGTCATTTCGACGTTAAATTATATTAAAACAATGTTAAAATAACTATTTTTGCTATCTTGGATAATAATAATAAAGAAAATATTTACAATTTGCAATTTGTGGTGACTTTCTCTCAATAGAAAATAAAAAGTATGACGTTTGGAGCAGATGAATTAAATATTTTTAAACTTAATCAAAATTTAATTTAAGAGTTATGTTATTTCGCTTTCCTTACGTTTTAATAAAATTCCTCTCAATTAAATTAAAAAGAATTATTTTTATTTTCTAAACTACTTAAATTTAAATTTAAAAAAATATTTACTTTTATTTTTTTACTGTATTTAAAAGATTTCATGTACTATCTCAATATTTCATGCGATATATCAAAATAATGAAATTATGGATCCATTCATTGTTGTTTTCATTGATTCATTTTAAGCTACTTTAAAATCACATAAATACATTCAAATTTTTTTCTGGCGTGCAAAATGACTTTAATATTCCATTGTAGAATATAATCTTAAATCTTCAATGCCAAAATATAGATAGCATTATATCTCATTGTATATACACCAAAGGATCGAATGTTATCTTCTACGAGAATTATTTTTCATTAGAATATTCATTTAATTAGAATATATATAATAATTTCTTGTACACTACGTAATTAGGTTAAAAAAACAGTTAACATATGCGAGAAATGAAGATGTTTGAATAAGCAAGTTTTACAAAAACAGATAAAAACAAATAAATCATTAAAATTTACATAAAAAGTTGCACGAGTGCTTAAACCACACGCGTACAAAATATTTACATATTTTGCATAAAAATTATTGCTATACATATACATATATATGATATTATGTGTAGCCATTTAAAAATATAATTTAAAGAAATATCCTCTTTAACTGAATAAATCACTTTAAATAGAAATGAGATGTAAATATCACATCTGTCAAATCTCTTTAGTTCCCACGTTCTTACATTCCTCACGTCTATAAAAAAAGTTTATATATATATATATCAAGAAAGCTAAAATGAGCCCAAGAAAGCAGCTAAAATGAGCAGACCTATCTGTAGCGGCTTGATTAGTTTAATCGCCCGAAATAATCGCCGGCGTGAAGTTCGCGACCCTGTCGCAGTCCTCTCGTACGCTTGCATAGATATATCGAAAGCCGCATGCCACATGTTGCATAACAGCATCCGAACGAATGTACTCGCGAACAGCTGCTTGCGTGCAAGTGCACCGATGAGACGACGATTAATCAACTTTGGTACACCCACACCGAGATTTCCTTCGGCAAGAATGGAAACAGGTTTCGCTCTCACGCTTTCCTTTATCGAGACTTACGTCGTATTTTTATGCGTAGCAGTATAATCCTATAAAACATAATTAACGATTTCTATCTTGATTTTAATTAATTTTATTCTCTTCAGAGGAGAGAATCTGATCCTAATTCGAAGCTAGAATTTAATTAGAATAAATATGAATCTTATATAATTATAGTTATATAGTTCAATTGGAATCAGATTCAATTATATTTAATAGTATATTTCATTCAATTATATTTCATGATTCCCATTGGAATTAATTATGATAAGACGTTTGTGCAATGATATGGACGGTAAAATATGTAAATGTAACACATGCATATGGATAATTTATCTACGATTACAATTACAAATCATGTGTCTACGATAAACACGCAGTCACACCTGTAGATTACTCTTTTACCTGTGGAATATATATATATAAATACATATTTGTAGCGAAGCAATGACGCGTTACAAATGAATGTGAAATGAATGCGGGAGCATGATCCTAAAGTTCAAGGTCTCGCTCTGTCTTATGATAGTATTATCTAAAGTAAAACTTTCGACATGTGAGAGCTCCACAAAAAAAATCCATAGTATATTTATCGCATTAGTATTACATTACATTAATTACAACATCGTATTACATTACTGTTGAAAGAGATTACTTTGAAAGATGGATGGATCTTTCATTCGAAAGAGTGAATTAAATAAAAGGAAAATTGAATTAAATGCGAGGTCAAATGCACGGTTGATTAAAATAAATTTACAACAGCTGATACCAAAATATAACGCGGATATTTTTTTAAAGATCAAGTTAATCCGCATCTCACAGAATCGTACGTTTAATTTCTCATCAAAAATGGATGCAGCATCGATGACGCGTCCACTTCTTTCATTTTAGTGGTAATTAATTCATGCTAAAGTCTTTCGATATGAAGTTAAGCGCATTTAAACGCGTTTGAATCATAGATATGTAATAAATATAGATTAGCGTGCTTTATCTTAATCCTAAACAATCAACGCGTCATAATTATAGCATTTTCAAGCCAAACAAGTTTGAGAATGATTAATAACATCATAAATCTCCGTCTTAGATTACTAGAGATACTTGGATTATTATATTAATCAATGAAATCTTTCTCCAAAAAGTATTTGATCGATTAATCATTTCAAAAAATCTTGTAAAACTCTTTAAAAACGATACATTTATATTATTAATATTATATTAATATTTTAAATTTTATTTATATTACACAGATTTGAAACCAATTTTTGATCGAACATATATTCATGGCAAATTGGATTTAATTGCTCTCAGAGCGATCTAACCTGTTTCACTCGAGAACGCTATTAGAAAGGTTGTCACGAATGTATATTTATCTTCCTTTATAACTTAATTAACCACGATTCCTGTTCTCTATTCTTATATTTGAAAGGAAAGACTACATTCCCGAAAGCTTTTTTCGCTTTTTAAATTACGTACAACGCTTGACCGAAATTACAAATCACAATCTACACTACACTTACTTGTTTATGACTGCCAAATAAAGCACCAATTCTGACGTAATCTGCGACGCGGGCGCAGCAGGTCCAGATAATTTGTGACGGTCTGACATTTCGGCAATTCTGTAAGTATGCACGTACATTTGAATTTACAGTAAAATTGAGTAACGATGGGTGATCTCGATACAAAAATATAATTTCAAATATCTGAAATATATTAATCAGGGAAATGACGCGCGCAAACGTCGAGACAGGGACGCGCGCTTAAGTTTGCGCGGGAAGACGCTTGTAGAACATGTCTCCGGAGCTGAAGGATCCCCGGTGGCGATGTGCGCCGCATCGAGGCTAGACGATGAGCACGATTAGCGAACGGTAATTTCAACGTTTTCTTCTTGTTACCTTTGTGTCGAGCTGTGCTCGGTTTGCATCTCTCGGCCTGAATAATCCTAGAGTAATCCATCTTATATTATACTGCACCCTTTCAGGGATTGTAATTTTTCATGTCTCATAATGACGAGAGCCGCCAGTCTCCGGGCGAGAGAAGAGGATGGAATTACGACTTATCATCGCGAAAAGTCGCTCTATGCAGATTGCTTATCTGGTGTATGGCACTTGTTACACATGCAAAAGGAAGCGGAACGAGATTGTCGTCCATCAAGGAAAATAAATGTCTTCCCTGCTCTTGCAAGAAAAAGACGCTTTTATCTTCCATCAGGTAAAAATCTTGTTTAGCGATATAATTGCATAGAATTTCAATACTGAATATCCGAAAATTTGGAAAAATAAACATTTAAATAAGTTACTTCTACCGCAATGATAGTATACATAGAGTAAGTTATTGAAAAAGATTACATATAAAAGGCACTTGAATTAAGCTTAAGAAAACCATGTTATGAAATCATATTTTTCACTCGATTTAAAAAAAAAAATTTTGACAAATATTTTTCTTTACATTTAAAATTATTCCATACACTATGTTGCACTTATCCTCAGATTATAATACATGGTTTCTGTTTAATCTTCTGGATTCAGATATAGAAATATCCACAGAGATGTATCATTTAAGTAAAATCTTAATCCAAAAGAATTTACGTACATCAGTGGATTCGGATTCATCCAAAATAGCTTGTAATACTTTGATACTGGCAATCAACGTGGATAACTCACTCCTGTGTTACAAAGTCTATTGGTTTGACCTCTGCATCGACGATAATTCGCATCTGTCCCTGTTCGTTTATGGAGGCTAAACAAATTGCCGGATCCACCTGAGCCCATCGATTCCAGTGGGGGGGTCAAAAAGACGAATCAAGCTCGAGCTCCGCGCCCCTAAGTAGGTCTTTAGCCGTTCAAAAACCGTTATCCGGCTCGCGACCTTCGGCAAACAATCTATCTGCGGTCGTTTGTCCTCGCGCAACAACGGCACCGCCGTTGACCGGATCTCGCGACATACTGTGCTCATCCAGCTTCCCCATACTGCCGGTTAGCGAATCGATCCGAAGATGATATCAATATGGCTCATCGATTCAGAAGACCATGATAGCTCAGCTTGCTCAGTTTCCGAGAAATTAATTCAATTGATGACTATCAGACTTGAACTTTAATTTTACTGCACTAATACTGCGTTCGCTTATGGCATTATATTAATTTGCAATAATCATTAAAAAAAACTTAGTACATTTAGATAATTAATCTTAATACTGTCAAAATAAAAATATCTAGTTTAATTCAATTAAATTTTTAGAAAAAATAGAAATCTTTTAATCTAACGAGTAAAAGATTCAGTGCAAATATAATAGTACAGTATAATAAACAGTATATAATTAATTCTAAAGTTCTAAAGTATAGTTAATTTCTCAAAAGTTGAAACAATGAAATAATTTAAAGACCAATTTTTCTGAGATTTTTTTTTAAGATTGAATTTTTTTGAAAGAAAATTCAATCAAACGTTAACTAATTTTAAAAGATTAATTAATTTATTATTATTGAAATAATATTTTAAAAATTATTGAACTTTAGAAAATTAATTAATATTATTATTAAACAATTAATTGAATTATTCAACTTTTGAATAATACTTTCTTATCTTACTTATTCATCTTACAGATTCTTTTTTTCTGAGAAAAAAGAGGAACTCTTGTTATAAAAAACAAAGAATGCGAAGAGACCTTCGCCTTCGCACATTATTTACATTTCTAAGAGAGAGAAAGACTCGTAGTTCTAAGAGAGAGAGAGACGAACTAGATCCATCTCCCACACGTGGACTTCTGCTCACCTTTTGCGATCCTTCTTTCCCGGAAATATTGATCGACCAGTTTGCCTTCAAATTAGGTAGAATCGCAGAATGCTTTCGGATAAATCGATGACTCGTCGCTGATTCCTTTGTGCCAGTGCAGCGTGTAACAGGTTCTCTCGTATGTAACGAGACGTCTTTCAGGCGAATGTGGTCAGGTAAATCAATTGACGAGGTAAACCGGCGGTGGCTGAAGATGTCAAGGTAGGGAGTTCACTCCCGGAGCGGAGTGAATGCCTTTCTCAGCTGCTTCGTCCCTGTATTTCAGTGCTCCTGGTGCTGCACCAACCGATGGGACTCGTCGTCTCCTCGCGCGCGGTCGTGATCAAGAAACTTAAAGAGATACCGATAGATCGGCGAAATCAAGTTCAACGATCGATCGACGAGCTGATCGATCGCGTGATCAGTTAATCGCATCCGAGATAATAAATGTGAGTAACATGTTCGCGAGGTGACTTATTGCCTAGAGCAAGAATCAAACATTAAAATTCAAAAACGGTAAAATAAATCGGATACTCGCTTATATGTTATTTATTATGCATTTCTAATCTTCGACATTCGATGTAATAATTGAGATACAAAATACTACCTGCTACATCTTAACTAAAATGCCTGCTAAAGTGTAATCGAAGTTAAAATCCGGTATGCATACATTACATATCAAATTCGCGAATCAAATTTTATTTAAAAAATATTCGGATATAAAATTAATATTTTGTAATTCCGTATATTCAAATCATTTTAAGTATTTCGTGTTGAATTAGTGGCATTAAGATAACAGCAATATTATACTTTTAAATACAGTGTATTAAAAATGTGTCGAATAAATCTTTAGCATTAAGTTTGATTCATGAAATTGTGAAATTTTCTAGGATTAAATTAAAGATCATGAAAGAATATTAATTTCTAATTTAGCAACTGTGTTATATAGATGAAAATATCCTTTTTAATTCTTTAAAGTACTAATTTTAATTCTCTAAAGTACTAAAATCTTTTGGTCTTTTTCCTAAAGAAAATATCAATTTTTTATTCTTTTTCCTTTTCGAAGTAATCTACTTTAGAACTTTATTCGTTTTAGTTTTTATATTGTACATTTTAATTTTAATAATTGCTCTTAAGCTATAATTTGAAATTTATTCAATTCATCACTTTTTTTCTGCTAATAATATTCTTCTTGTCTGATTCAAGAGATGTAAATAAAATAAAATAAAATAAATGATATATGGGAAACTAAAGATATTAAATAAAGATATTAATTAATTAAGATATTCAAGTTTATAAGATTCAATAGTATTTTAAATATTTACAGTATATTATGTATGTATATACATAATGTATGTATAGATTATTATTATGACTTATAGGACAAAAATTCTCAGTTCTATGGAAATAGATTTAAAAGTAGGATAAATAAATATGTAAACATACAAATGGGATAAGTTTTATAGATGCGACCGAATTTGAGGTCAGTCATAATAATTCAAGTGGCTGAGTGCACCATTCAATATCGGTCGAATACTGAATTCCCAATGGAATTAACGGTTTTAGAAAGCCGTAAAATAACCCATAGAACAGGAATCGTGTATAAAATCAAAAAACAATTTGCATCAGAAATTAATTTTTGAGCGAATATCTGTGTGCATAAGAAATTCTTTTCCTCTCAGTATCAAATTAAATTATCAGTGCACAGCAATATCCCAATAAATACATATAAAATACATATAATCTTATTGTAACATGATGGGAAGAAGCAGAATTGAATCATCGATTTGAGAAAAATCATTCTTTCATTATGATTTTTACGGTATTTTTTATATTTCCGTTATTAAAATAATTACCAAACAAGAATCTAGAAATAGTAACTAGAACTGAACGAGTTTACTGAAAATTTCACACGTATAATGGCTTGATTCATTTAATGAATAACTGTGGACTTGTCGTGCGAGCCAACTTTTAATTGTCACGCTTCGCCTACATACGTAATTCGGAAAACTGGATATGAATAATTGGAATTTCTATTGCTCAAATCTATATAATCTATAATTATCTTGTCATTTGAATGTGATTGCAACCGGTGTGCGAAAATTTATAATTAATTCTTAAAATATAGTAAATTCTTAATATGAATTATACAGTTAAATCATTGTAGAATAAATGATAGGGAGATAAAAGAAAAACATAATTTTGCATCGTAATCCATGCTAACGAGATCTGTAGAGAAATAAATTGGCTACGCGGGTTTGTTAAATTCAGAGAAATCGAACGAAGAGAAAATTATCGAACTAGAAAAGAAATCTTTAGCTTACCTTATTAAATACGCCAAACATTCATCGCGAGAAGTGTAGCGTCACGCTCTCCAATATGACGCGACAAACACACGCGCTTTCCAATAAATTGTCGAGTAACTTTGGATCCAAATACTCTTTCTCTCTCTCTATTTCTTCTTGAGGTGTTGGCACGCACGTGGTTAGCACGCTTGTCACTCTCTCCCGGAACGGGGCTTTTCCCTTCCATTTCGAGGTCATGCTTTAACATACAAGTACTTTCGATGCGCTGAACCTTGCCTTCCTGACCCAATAATTCCATTATTCTAGTCCGATCTGTAAAACATCAATTCGACGAGTATCACTTTCGACAATATCTTACCTCTTTATAAATTCTCAAGTATACATTTTAATTTTCTTATTAATATCTCCATAAATTCTTAAAATTATGCTGAAGTCTTAGAAATCTAGAAAGAAAAAGTCTCAGAGTCTAGAGTAATCTTGCAAAATTTCCGGCTGAAAATATGATATAATGTATGAATCAGATTAATTAAATATTTGTAAATTAAAAATAATAAAAAGGGCTTGTCTCCCTTTATAATAAATTAAAAATAATAAAAAAGGCTTGTCTGCCTTTATAATTATATTTATTGGTCTTGCCTTGACCGACGAAAGTATTACACTGTCATCGTGATTGCGAACGTGCAGCAAATTTTAATGGCATTGTCGTATTTGTATTTCACTCCTATTTCTTCGATTATGAGGTCACAGCTATCAATTTAGCTAAATGAGATACTGCAAAAAATGGCAAAGAATTTTGAACGACTGGAGGCGTTTTCTCATGTCGTTCCGCTTATATTCGTTTTGTTGCAATAAATAAGAGCAAAGAAGTGTTCGCGTAAGAGAACATGAGCATTTAAACAATCGTGATTACGTGCGCGAAGTGCATCTTGTGAACACCTTTCTTCTCTTCTCTCCGTTACGACACACTAAAAATCCCACGCATTCGTTCCGCTGGAATAGCGGGAATCCGACTCTTACCGCGACCGTAGTCGTTAAAATTCGTTACGAGAAATTACCATTACAGACCGAAAGTTCGCTGAGATAGAACACAATTCGAGATAATTCTTATTTCCGCGACAAAAAACATTATTGTTTTATATGAATTTATTTATCTTGTACATATTTTGCCACTTTAAAATTATTTTTCTTGTTCAGGATCATGATCAGAATCGCGATTCTCGTTCTTACGATTAATCTGGTGAAGGGCCAGCTCAACTACGAGGGAAACCCGTTCACGGAATACACCGAGTATATTGCCGAAGAGAGCAATCTTTCTGAAAAGTCTGCCAGGAAGAATGACGCCTCATTCGATTACCCGAACTCTGAAATATCATCGCCTTCCCAGAAACTATATCCAATCGTAGAATCCGAGGTCGACAAGAATCTACATCAAGTGACGGAACCTGACAATCTTCTTACTGATAAATTGCAAAAACAAACTTCATTCTCGGTCCAAGCCTTCCGATCGAACGACACAAACATGCATTCCGCTCGCCAGTTCCAGGTTTCTTCCGATCAGAATTCAGCAGAGCTCGCGCTGAACACGTTTCTAAATTCCAAAACACCCGAAGAGTCCCGCTTATCTCTCGAACACTATCTCCGCAGCCAAAATTCGCCAAACGCACAGTCTCGATCCTCGAATGTGATCATCGGTCAAAATAAAAGGATGATCGAACCAACGTTCGATATTAAACGGCCATTGAACTCTCAAATGGAACAACAGCAGTCGTTGGTAGTTCCTCAGGTAAACCAACAACTGATACCAACACCGCAAGTGAATCAGGGTCAACTGGTACCGCAGGGCCAGCTAATGTCGCAGAACCAGCTAGTACCACAGAATCAGCTAGTGCCGCAAAATCAGTTAGTGTCACAGGGCCAGATGTTACCGCCTATCGGACAGGCTTATGACTATGTGGGACAACCGCCTCCAATTCAGCCCGTAATCAGGGCACCCGCGGGAATTATCTTGGGACATGGGATGATGCAGCCCGTACCGCTTATGCCCGGCTTTCACACCAGGAACGATATAACGCCAGCAATGTGGAGAGAAAGGATGAGAAGAATTCGCGGACAGCCGTTTCCTTTTGCGCAACCTAGGCTGGCACCAGGATTGTACAAAGGAACGATCGCAGGTAAGTCTGAAAAAGAAAATATATGATATAAAATATATGAATAATTTTAAGCGATGATAGCCTTGAATGACGAGACAGAAAAACAATTTTTTGCTAGTTGACCCAAGATAAAAAGCTTCATCCTTTTTGAAAAGAGAATTTAATTCGACTTTGCTTGAACGGCACATTACATCACTCGCATAAAAATATTGTTATTCAAACTTGTTTTATATTTAGAACTATTTGTTTTTTTTAATAATCGATATTTCATTAATAAGAAGGAAAAAAAATACTTAACTGAAAGCATCAACATTACGCAAGTAATTTATTAAAATTCTGTGGATGAAAAAATTATATCTTAAAGTTATTGTTAGAGAGACAGAGAATAAAGAAGAAGACAAAGGGAGAGAGAGAGAGAGGAAGAGAAAAAAGGGAGATATTACATTTAAATTATTTTTCATGAAATTTAGAATAAATTATTTTAACTATAAAATATTTTTTTATATTTAATTTAAATATAAAAGAATCACTTTTGTAAAGGAAATTTTTTTAAAAATTCTTAAAGAATTATTCATAGTTATTTTGATTTGCAGATAATGAATAATAATGTTTTAACGAGTACTGAAATAGGTACAAGAATACTGATCTGATGGAAGTGACCTTTAACTATATAACTATATTATGCGGATGTATTATGTTACGTTGTATTATTCCGATATATTTTTAGTAATTTTATGCGAAAAGAAATATCGTGAATAAGCACTTTCCATTAGCAATATATCATTCTTAAATCCACTTACGTTCGCGTGAATTTATGAATCGCAATTTACTAATGATCGCATCTAAATCATTATTAACATCTAAAGAGATATATGATTCTCATTTCTTCTTATAGCATAATCATTTACGAGCTATCGCATACGTAACATATTCTAGCATCTAAAAAAAACAACAGAAAACTTATAGACAATTAATAATAATTTTAACCGACAACCAAATTACAACTTTTCCTTTCGAAGAAATCTTATGACGCATACTTTTTTTTTGTACTCGGCAGTTGAAGCATTAACGCACATTTGCGTTGCAAAACAGGCACGCGTATAGAATACACTTAACGCATCGCGATATATTGTACGAATCTTTTTCTCTTAATGGGATATGTCACCTTCTGGATATCTCAGTTCCTTTCAAGCCCAAGGCTCCGATCGAGGTGATTTATACGAAGCCGCCGGGTTTTCATCGAGGACCGCCCATCATCAGTAATCCACCGGTTCCTTACGAAGATGCGAGCCCCTGGTTCCCCGAAGCCGATCATCCGCCGTCTCAGAAGGATGTCTACTATTCGCAGCTGTATGCGCAGTCCTACGATCCTCATTATTACAATTACATTGCCACGACCGGTAAGATACGGCCGTACCTCTATGGGAAGCTGGGAAAACGTGAAGAGGAAAAGGACGATGGTATCTGGTCGGAGTTGTATCGCGGCTTCACGAAGCATGGCCTGAAGAACATCATGACTCCGACCTTCCTTTTGGGCATGACGTTACCGGTGGTGACCCTGATGCTCTCTGCCCTCGTGCAAAAGCGATCCCTTGCGCGATCGGATGGGGCGAGAAACTTGGACCAAGAGGATGCTCTGCAAGAATATCTCGAGAGGTTGCAGAGAGCGATGGAATGTTATGCTGGTAGGAGCTCTCAAGATGCGAAGTTAGACGGATGCTAGAATAGATTAAGAAAATATTCTGATGCTGGATGAGCCGTTGGACGGAATGATGGCGCGATTTAATCGAAATAAAGTTCTTAAGTCCGGTCTTAATGTCAATGTTGAAAAATTGCATTAATTATTCAAGCAATAAAAATATACATGTGGATAATAATAAATTGCTTTCATATTCAAATAGAATATGTAATGTGTGTTATAATGAATGTAATATTTCCTGCTTATTCTTTTATTATGAATAAGATTATTTATTATCGACGTTCATGTTAAAATCGGGCTATTTTCAGCGCAACACTTATACCTCTTCATTTCATTCGACGGCTCAAATGTGGCCGTCTGATTCTGACATTTATTTATGTAAATCATGCTGATTAATTTATCGAAATCGGATAGCCACATTTGCAATAAATATATGGGGAGAGTATGGATTATTGGTGCTTAAATCGCGATAAAAAACACTGATATCACGCGTGCTTTATAGAGGTAAACGTATAAAATGCTTTTAAGCGGCCATGCTAACTAACGGGTGTGATAATATTGCAATCTATCATTTTCTGATATATCGCGCCTAGATATTTTATTAAGAAACAATTCATACGTAAGAGATTGCCGTTCAATTCTGAACATCATAAATTTTTAGAAAGATGTATAAAAATAAATTTATATACCAAAGTCATCAAATGCCATGAGTTTATAAATGACATCGCGACATAAAGAATTGATAAATAAATTATGTCATACAAATCACATAAAACATAATATAACAAAAATGCATATTTAGGAATCAATAATTTTATAAGCTAAGAGAAAAATTTATATAAATGAATGTAATTTCCATCTAATGAAACGATCGTTTCCGGCAATTCACGTGGAAAATAACTGTTTTCCACATGAATTACATTTCAACTCTCGCGATATGGCAGAGACCTAATACGCACGTGTACGCAATGTATTATTAGTATTACGCAAGATCGGCGTTTCTTATGTTACAAGTCGTTAAAAAAAAAAAAAAGAAAAAAAAACAGCTGAAACAACTCCTTAATTCCTTGCGCAGCTTAAAAATTTAGGAGAATTAAATAACGTAAGACGAGTCTCGTAGATTTGCCAATGTGCACATCGAGTATACCATGTATATACATGTACTTAATATAAAAATATATAATATATATTCATATTTAACTATAAAACCGATGCACCAGATGTGTGTTTATTGTTCCTAGCATAACGAATATTCCTATATTCTTCGTCAACCTCGGCAAAAATCAAGCATAGAAATCTTCTCCCCTTTCATTTTGGTAGTGAAATCCATTGTGGGAAAACTTTCACGTATCTCAGTCATCTGTTCGCACAATGGATGCAGATGAAGGAGAAAAAATTATTACTCTCTAATTAAATAGTAATGAACTATTTCATCTTTTATTTCATAACAATCAATATATATATATATATATATTAATTTACTGATCGATATAAATTATTTATAGAAAATGAGAGAGCACCTTAGAGAAGAATAATTTATCCTTGTCCCGCAATAATATGCAAAGCGAGACTGGCTTCGAATTCTAATCTTAAACGTTGCAACCCACGTCTCCTATTACACACAGGCTGTCGCCTAATTTACGAGTTTAGCTCATTAATATATGTTCAGACTAACATAATTGACCTTGTCGTCAAATTGTTAATCCGGCATAGTTCGCTAGAATTGTCTGTACGTGTATTCGAGCTGCAAGTGTTGCAAGTGTCCTATATATGGACAACGCATAGTTACATTATGTTAAAATGTCGCGTGCAGTGGCGTTGTATTAAGAAAAAATTCGCTGAAAGTAATAATATCAATTACACAAGAAACTTACAATAAAAATGCAGCTTTATCTAATTTATTTTCGCACATGTAGATGATGACTCGTAAAATGATATCCTCTTGGTTTGCAAACTAGACAAATTTTTTATTAATTACATAATAGTATAGCTACTGAATTAATTTGCATCAGAAAATCGATTCAGTTTTAATGATTCGCGAATTTGAAGTTTTGTTTTCCTTTTACATTAATTGATAAAAAATATAAGATATTTGTGATAAAATAATATATATATATATAAATTTTATCTCTATGTATAATAAAAAAAAATTTTATACGAAAGACTGGCAGCTTATAGGATATGTACATTGTTTGAAGAGTCGTGTTCACAAAGTATTTCGAAAGTAATATTAATTTAGATCAACATACATATATATATTTTCAGAACCAACCGGTTTCGCCGGTTATGTTAGATCTGTTCGACGTATTAAGATAATTTCACAGTGCAGTGATCCAATTTGGGTCATAAAAAACCTATCCGAATGTTATAAATCGTTTAATAAGATGTAGGTCACGTATCAACGGTATTTATTTATGGTTAAAATTAAATCAACAAAGTTAAATGAAAAAAGACAAGCGTAGTATACCTTTCATATCTTTTTGGAATATTTTCGAAACCTATATATAATATCGCTATTATATATAATAAATCATTCTATTATTAATAACGAGATAATTTATCAACTTTTTTAAAAATTAATCAATATTCTCAATAGATTAATTAAAAAATATCTAATATAAATTTATTAATTAATCTTCATTATTAAATGATAAGTTTGATTAGTTTGATTTTTCTCTGTTTATTATTGTAATTTAGGAACACGCAATTTTCAACAAAAAATTCTTGAAAATGATTTAGAATCGATTAATAAGTTAAATTAACCGTCACGACTTTCGATCGAATTTTGTATCGACGACTGATATCAAGTTGAAGAACGAGCTTACCTACATTGCAAGCAGGCTCAAACTGTTCCCAGATTGATTACAATCACATTATTTAATCGAACGTTTAACGGCTCAGCTCAAGGGTCATGAGACTCAGCTGCTTGTGTTGCTTGTAGAATAAATAATCACATGCCACTATCAGATCCGCTGTCCCTGAGTCGCTAAGTCGAATATGTGCATCGTAAAAAAAAAGAGAGAAAAGGATGTTAATCGGAAATTTGAAAATATCAAAATTTATATATACTTAAAATAATAGTGTACAAAAGCAAGAGAGAAAGAGATCTGTGTGCTCCTTTGATTATTAAGGAGTGAGGATGAGAAATAAATAAACGTGCTTTTATTAAAATAAATTCTAATTTGCTCCATAAAATTCATAGACGCTATATCAGAAAAGTTCTACATTTGATATATTATAATTAAAAAACACAGTATTAGTATTGCCTTCGATGAAGTATGACATTTTCTCTATATAACTGCCATTAGTATACAATAATATGTACTTCAGTATAGTGTATTTCTATCGTTAACTATTAAGTGTTGGCAGCGGAGGCAGAGCTTTTATTGGCATGTGATCGTGTTGTAACTTCAACCATTGCACGATCATTGTCGTGAATGAAGGATAAGTCAATTTGTTCGCTTTGCGTTTAAGTTCTATTTAATTCATCAGTCTTTATTTCGACGAACATTAAATGTGGTATGATTAAATCTGATTTTATCGCTGTGCCAAAATTGCTCTGTATAAACGGCAAGTACAAAATAAAATGTGCGCTTTGAATTGTAACAACAATTTTCATATAATTTCTAATACATAAAATATTTCAGTGTACAAGGATAGTATCTCGAGAAGAATCTCAATTTGCAGTCCATTTTCAGTAAAAATGTTAAAGAATATTTCTAAAAAATTATTTGTAAATTTCAAGACATCTTAAAGAGAAAAAGAATTAATAAATTAAAAAAGGATTGATGAGAATACATTCCATGGAGTTAGATTCTTAATTTCCAAATTAAAAAAGAATCTTAAAATTTTTAATTTCTTTTCGATTGTAAAAATTAAAATATATATGTTTATTATATTTCCGCGCAGAATGAATTCTCGTGCTCTATTCATTTTTGTAGATTTATTTTTGCGTCTATTTTCCTTGAGTCTTATTTTTGAGGCCTATTTTTTGTAAGAACATCAAACAAAATCTTTATGCAGATTGCATTCGGTTAACGAGCTGTCTTTCAAGAGACTAGACCTGACTATATTACTAAAGAATATAATCTAGATTACTTTTTAATGTAGATTATATTTTTAGCATATACATATTATATATGTTTACAATGCAGTATATAATTATGCAGTTGCAAATTTTAAGAGCAAATAAAAATTATGCCTATTTATCCATTAAGAGAACATTGTACATATCACTTTTGTATATTTTACATTGTTTTTGACTAAGCAAGGCATTTTAATAGAGCACAATTTTGTACTTTGCATACAAAATAGATTCAGCTCAGTTTACCATGCAACTACAATATGTAATTGTCTAATGTGTGTGTTTAAAGACGATTGACGTGCAACGCGTTACGTCGTCTAATAAAATCTCAATATTAAACTATTATAAAGTTATATTCAGAGCGTGTGCGAGACATACTCGAACAGTTTTAGTAAACATATATACTGAAATTCATAATAAAAACTCTCTTTATACATATGTCTATCGTCTCAACATATATATATATACAATACACAATAATGTGCCAATTTATATTTGTTTAATTATTCTATCTACAATATATATATATATATATTAATCTGAATCTTGTAAAAGCATTTTTTTTCCAAGATCTGGTGTTCTCTGACTGATAATTTATTACAGTTCCGCATATATTTAATCTTATCCTAATTGTTTTTATCAATTAGTCTATTTAGATGGGTTAGTTAAAGGTCATTTTGTCGTTAAAAAATTAGTTTAAAAGAATCAAAAAATATCGAAAAAGGAGCAAATTAAATATATTATGCTTTCATAACATATTATAGCCTCTCGTGCTATTTTCTGTTATTATGCTCTGGAACATCGTCTAGTGATGTAGGCTAACATTTTCTAAAGAATTATTTGTTATAATACTCACGTCGTTTCGTGCACTTCGTCTTCTTTTTTTTCTTTTTGTCTATATAAAGATGAAGGCTTGTGATACCTACTTACTCTGTGTATGCAAACTTATGCAAACTTTTCTTCTTTAAACGCGAGATTGATAGCTTGCCCGACATCCTTTACGATGAATGCCGGTTTACACAAGCCATCATCAACTGGCAGAAAATCTCTAGGACTATGATCAGTTCTAAATTTGGAATCCGGCTGATACACACCAGTTTCGACTAAAATACTAATACAGGCCTTTGCGTTAGGACACCTCATGTTCTTGCCAAGGAGTTTTTCCAGACTGCGGGATTTAGTACCTTCTCCAAACTCGTAACGTGATAAATATTTGTCGTATAAATTCGCGCCAAAAATATCGGTATTGATGTTGTCACTAAAAATCAAATGCAAATTGCTCAATCACGACATGTTATAAATTAAATGTAGCTGTAAATTTTAACGACTTTTATCTTCAACACATACCCGATGGCGTAAATCGTATCGACGTTCTCGATGCCAATGCTATTGGCGTGATTTACGAGCAATTGATTGGCATGATAATATGTAATCTCACTAGGTTTTCCGACTAGAGCAGCATATGTCATGTCTTTGCCTGTGACCTTCTTATATAAGTTTTCGAGGCACAATAAAAAAGCACCATGGCCATATCGGGGAATTGGCGCCTCCGATGCCCATAACAAATCCATGTTGCACGCCAATACTGGAATGTGCGGATAAGGAACAGTAGTAGGCAATCCTGTGGGCATCCCATTGGTAATTAGGAGGTCTACCATTAATTGCAACGACGTTTCCCAATTTATTGGTTCGCTCAGAAGCACGATCCCCTCAATTTGTGGAAAATTTGGATCAACCGGACCACAAATTGGATTTCTCTTCTTCATATTTACATAGTCTAAGCACGGAAAATTCCTTACTAATTCCTCTATCGTTGTTGTCTTCTCGAAACCTAATTCTCGGGCTATATCCGTTATTGGACCTTGACCCGATATGAGAACTTGTTTATTGTGAAGATAATCAAATATTTGCAATGGTGAATGTGCTAGCACAACTTGAGATTCCGCGACTTCGAAACCTATCCAATTTGAGAGATCGACAGCTTTCTGACTGCGCAGCGAATTTCCACTATTGGTGACAAACAACGTAGGGATGCGAAATTTCCCATTTTGTCCTTGAAGCCGTTTGAAAGATTCTTTTACCGATGGCAGTACTTGTTTTCCACGTACTATGACACCATCAATGTCAAAAATTAGACCAAATTTTGGCTTTGTACTTAAATGCTGTACAAACAGAAAAAAACAAATCTATATAATTTTTTATACTGTTTAACTATTTGTGCAAAGTTCCTTGGATACAATATAAAAGATATAGAGAATTTCATAACTATATTTATAACATATTATTTATATTCATCCGTGAAACTGGCATGAGTGTAGATACAAAAATATCTTGAACTTGAAGGTGCGATAAAAAGATTAATGTCATTAAAGAAAAAATGCGATAAAAAGATTAATTTCATCAATGAAAGATACAAAAAAGTCAAAACTACATAATATTTATGTAAAAATTAAATAAGAGATATTTTTGTACGTTATTATTTTCCGATATTTTGAATAAGTGAGAGAAAGAATAATGTCAAATGAGTCAAATTTCAAATGAAAAACGAAACCGAGAGACCTCTAATGAATATTTCAAAAGTGCGTGAACATCTCCATGATGACATGTGTATATCGCATACATAAAAACTAAAAATACAACAATGACAAGTTATGAAACTCCCCCGAAGTATTATGTAAAACGCATAATACAATAACGTGCTAACATTGACGACCAGATGCGAACGATCATGAATATACGAAATAAAAATATAAAGAGAAGAGTGAGAGGTCATAAACGAAGGGAGGACTTTTCAAAAAGTAAATCGACACATCGGCGAATGACAGTTAGAAAAAAAGAAAAAGAGGAGAGAAATGGTGAAAGTGCTACTCACTCTGACTCCAGTGAACCTCGTCCGGACGTCCAGCCGCAGCAAAATATTGGCGATCGCCATGATTTTATTTTTATTTGTTAAACGTACGGCGAGGCGACGACTTGCGTGCGATCCAATCACGACCTCAAAACGCTCGCCAGCCGCCTGTCGCGGCTCGATTATACATAATGACACGCTTTGAGGTTATATTGACCCCGCCGCACACATCTCATTGTATTTGTTCGCACGTGCCGTAAGAGGACACGACGCGTGGACAGTGAACAGAGAGATTCTAGAGATCATCGCGAAGCGATCTGCATAAATTATAAAATTGTATAAAGATACGTAGACGTAGCATTGACCTGCGAAAGAAGTGCGTTCAAAGATCCCATCTGGAAGAGAGAGCCTTTAATCGACCAATCAGGATTGACAGATCTTTCCTCCTGATTCGTCAATTAATAAATACTTTCTCTCACGTGTAAAATTTCCGAACGCACTGTGGCAGGTGGAATCTACAGTTTTGACGTGAGACCACGAGTTGAAAAGCCATTTCTCACACGGAAGAGCGTTCGCGTTTTTTTATCGTACGTTCAGCAATTACGCCAAAATGTTTATCAAGCCATTTAAAATCAAGTCGAATTCTCAGCTGAAAGGAACTGAAAGGTTTGTGTAATTTTTTGATCGATTCCACAGTCTTTGACGTGTGGTTAATTTCTCATATATCCTGTGTATTTGTCAAATTGTAAAAACAAAGGTTTCTTTGTACAAATAAATGTTTTTTTCTTTCATGGAGTTTTAAATATATCACAAAAAATAAGAGGATTCACGAGATCAACTGTAACATTTTAAATTTAATGTACACATACAGTATATTTAAATTACGTTTGATTATAGTATATTTAAATATGCTAAATAAACAAGATTTAATATTGTCATATTTCTTTTAGAAAAAAATTATGCGAGGAAGTATTGGCAGCTTATCCGAGCTTGGTACAAGATATTCAAGTGCTGTTGCCTAAAAAGGAATCCATCAGCATTATGAAAATAGTAACACATAATGGACAGATAGGCAAAATATACTGCGTCGCTAAGATACCCATGTTCTTTCAATTAGATTCATATAATCTATTATTTCCCACAATTTATACATTATGGCACCATCCAGCTTTGATAAACACCTTCACTATCCACTCAGGAGTTTTATCCAAATTAGCGGGTGGTGCGGATCTCATGTTGCCAGGATTGGTTCTCAAGGAACCAGTAACATTGTACAGTTTTGGTAAACTGCCAAAAGGTTCTCCAGTATCGATCAACACTGAAGACAACAAGGTTTAGATTTTTATTCTTCTGCCAATTAGTTGAATATCAAAATATGGAAGAGAGAAGAAAAATGTTCTTTGTGCAGGCTACAGTTGCTGTTGGCATCACTGCACTTTCCAGTGAAGACATGTATTTGGCTGCTGGACATGGGAAATGCGTGGAGATTTTTCATGTCATTGGCGATATGCTTTGTCAATTGCAAGGCAAGCTACCTTTAAGGCCTGATTTGGGACCACCAAATGATGATCTCACAAAAATAGCGGAAAATGCCGAATCGTGTAGTCAACAGGCAACCGCAAATCAAACTGAAGTATTGCCGGTTAAATTAGAGCAGCTAGATATTGCCGAAGATTCAAGCGATGACACCGAAGATGAAACTGTTTCCAAGGTAAATATATCGATGATTTTTTCTTGATACAAATAATTGAAATTAATTCATTATATTTAGGAATATTTGGAAGAAACAGAAAATGTAGAAACGGAAAATGTACAAAATTCACACACAATGGAATCGGAAGTAGTTGATCCAGTCCAAGAGATGGATCAATTATTGGAATATTGTTTCTTGAAAGCATGCAAAACAACGATAAAGTCTAGTGATCTACCAATGCTGTCGTCCAATTTCTTTAAAAACCATTTGTTAGTTGTCTGTCCACCGGGTAAAAATGTCGATGTCAAAAAATCTCGATATAAAAAATTATCAGTTTTCCTGGCAGAAATGAAGGCCAAAGGAATAATCAACACATCCATCACGAAAGGTGTCGAGACCTTATTGTCGATCAAGGTAATACTTATATTTCAATTTTTTTATAATCGAAAAGTATATCTTAAAATCATGTCTTTTTCTCTTTCTTTCTCTGAGTTTACATTTAAAAAATTTTTGTGTATGTATTAAACATTTCTCTATACTTTTAGAAATAATTTTTTAATTAACATGTTTGATTAGAATAGCATACAATTGTAATAGGTTCCATTCTTTCACTCTTCAGTTTGATCACCCGCTTGTGAAGGAATTAATCGTCAATGAGGAACCGGTTGTGGCCGAACCGGTGGTTTCGAATAGCGCCGTCGTGTCGGAATGTTATAGAGTGACCGCCGACGTTTTACCAATTTTATCGAAATTTGGCTACGAGTAAGTATGATAGCCGAGTAACTAGTCATACACTTGCAATACAGAGTAATTGCAGAAGAGATTATTTTCTATGTGATGATAACAAGTTGAAATTGATATATTATATATATATAAACATGGATTTACTTTATATCGAATGCATAAAATCAATGATGATTGCAGAAAGGGCGATGTGATGAAAAGAGTGGACATTAGAAAATGTTTCACCGAATATGTGAAAGCGGAGGATTTACAGAACGGAAAGTAAGATAACGATGTTTTACTTGCATAAGTTAAACTCACTTATTTCTACGTTTCTTCTTCTACTGATATGATTTCTTTGAATTTGTAGAACATTAAAGCTGAATCCTCAACTGGCAGGTATTATGCGAACCAAGGCTCACCAGGAGACAGTGACGATGGAGGATGGGATAAATAAATTTATCGGTCGTATGACGCATATGCATGAGGTCACTCTAGCGGGAAATACTTTGTTGCACACAGGAAAACTGGAACCGATCGACATGAGAGTGACGGTGCGATCAAGCGGGAAAAAGGTAAAAACAACAACTTGAGATGCAAAAATTGTTCGCTTTTCTGATGGCATCGCGTGAATTGCAGGTGACGTTGGTAAACAACTTGGAAACATTCGGAATTAATTTGAAAGAATTCAGTAAAGAATGTCAGACCATTGGCGCGAGTGCGACAATCACCGACGATCCTGGCAAAAAGACACCTAGTGTTCTTGTTCAGGGAAATCAAATTTTATACGTGTATAAATTGCTTACAGGTGAGTCGCTTCGATTTTAATCTCTAATATTATAGTTGTGGAAATAAAATATCTAATTATCATTTGCACAATCGTAATGCATCGTTTGTTATTTACAGAGAAATACCAAATTAAAAAGAATTATATAAGAGGTTTAGAATTCGCTCCCAAAAAGAAAAAATAAAATCCTTGCATAAATAAGAAATATCCTTATAAATTTTGTAAATAAGTCAAGTTGTTCTCTTTTTTAATGTTATCGCAATGAGATAAATGCGTAATACTCGGGCTCATTTATCCAATGACTTCGTTTCGTTTCTTTTCTATCAAGGTTTTCTTGCAAATATCATTATTGCATTTTGAAACAATTTAATCATAAAGATTACAGAAGGATGCTGCCACTATATATTGCGAAAACATTTCTAAGAAATGCGATTAGAAATTGACATTGACGATATTTATCGTTCTAACAGAAAGACGTTATAGTAAGTAATAAATAAAAGAAACTTGCAACAGTACGAGTTGTTATTATTAGTATATTATTCTGACCTTATCATTTTCTATATCATGACATAAAGCAAAGAAAAACGAGAAAATACCCAAAGAATAGGTAACGTTCGTGCGAGAGATGACAGGCGATCGATGTTTGTTAATATAATTTATTATATATCGAGGTTTCAACATGGAAAAGTACAAATATTGCAATATAGGGAGGGCCCGCCAGCTCTCCTCGGGTGGGAGGGAGGGAGGGAGGGAGGGAAAGGGGGGAAGGCAGCAAAGGGTTTCGATTGCACAGAAGGGAGAGACGACGCACGTAAAAGGGGATGTTCCTTGCGGGATACCTTGGGGGGATGTTGCGTTCGGACAAAAACCGAGAGTGAACCGCGTATACGTGTATAATGTATATATATATAATGTATATGTATATATAATCATATTCTTCACATATATATTTATATATCTTTATATCGCTTTTTTTTGCCTTAAATTTATCTCTTTTTTTTTTTTCTCCCTTTTTTTTTTCGAGGCGCGACGGGGATGTCGACGGACGTCGCGGAAAGCGTGAGGACGTCCGGTCGGGGTTTCAGGGTATTTTTTTTTTCTTTTCTTTCGCTCGGATAAAAGGAAGGTTCCCTCCTCTCCACGGCCCCCGCATATATTTAATACTCGTTTTGTTCTTCATTTTTTCTCTTTTTTTTTTCTTCTTTTTTTTCTACCTGTACGCACAGGCGCGTCACGAGGAGTCGCGACGCACGCGTGCGTGTTTCGTGACAGTAATTACTTTTTTTTTTCTCTCGCTTTCTCTTTCGCTCTCTTCCTCTCGCTATCATCATAATCGTCATCGTTAGCCTTATCATTATCGTCGCCTTGCGCCTTCTCTTAACTAACTGCCTCGCAGACGTACGATCGATCGAGACATAGCGATCTATCTCACGGATGTCATGCGCTCTTCGCCGAATCCATGGATTGTCATTACGTCATCGCAATGATATAGATAGTATATAGAGCAAGCGATACGAATTACAAGAGAAAATCGTCATCTTGTGCTACTTATGAGTCTTGATTTAATTGTTTATTTTTATTCAGCTACGACGACGGTGTCTCTTTCAATTCGTATCACTCGCGATTAAATCATCTGTGCCGACTTCTGACAGCTCGCATTCATTGCAAATTCTCCGTTTCGTTTCCTAAAGAGCCTAATATTTTTCTCGTCGCTAATTATATATTTTAATCGCAATGCTTTAATAAATAGTGATTGATGCGACAGTAATGACTGACGGATTCGACGAAGGGCGCACGGAAAAATTCGTCTAAATGTCGATTAAGCCTAAAACGCGCGCGCATTTTACTCGTGGACCAGATTATATCATCAGTCTTCTCAGTTTAAAGCGTCGAGCGACACGGATTTATCCGATCGCTCTGTTCTCTTCGCGCGATTCTCGCGCCGATCAACAAGAATCGCGGATTCGGACCCGCGAGAATCGCGGCGAAGGCTCGATAATTCCCTAATCCGAACGCTATGATTCGATCGTTATTGATTTTACTCGGGCAATCTCTCTTTTCTCTACGTCTGCGGAGGAAAGCCTCATGCTCGCCCTTTTTCTTTCTCTCTCTCTCTCTCACACGCATTTCTATTTCACGTTTTCCTTTCTCTCTCTTTCACTTCACCTCGCATTCTCTCATGGGAACATATTGTACTTGCCGTTGTTGCCATAGTAAATCATCATCTCCGAATCAATTCGCCTAAGTCGTCATCACTATTATTTTCTCTCTTGCTCTCTCTCTCACTCACTCATTCTTTCTCTCTCGCTCTCTTTCTCTCTCTCTCTCTCTCTCTCTCTCTTTTCTTGCTCGCTCGGTCTCGTTTACCTTCTGAATTTTCATAGTTTTTTTTTTCTTTATGCAACACATAATGCGACTAGGTAGTACAGATTAATTAATAATTAATATCGTGTTAGTGTTATACAATAATAACGTATGACTAGACAATGCAAGATAATAATTATATCGTAAATATAGTAATAATCATATTATGGATCGCAATTTATATCAACAATGTAGTGGCGCGCACGTGTTTCGAAGAATGGTAACAGTCTAATTACCGTTTTGTGTGCATGTATCTGCCTCTGTGTGTGCGTGTCCGGTGTGCGTAACTATTTTCCCGTTTCCTATACATGTATTAGATGTATGTATGTATATATGTGCACCCTTTTTCCCTCGAGTATCAAGATCTGTCTGTTGTTCTGTTCTCGCGCGTATTACATCGTGAATGTGAGATTAAAAAGGAGGAGGTTGCAATCGGAGTAAAAAAAAAAATTGCACAACGAGTCTCGTGGAAACGAACGATTTCCAAATTCGAAATTCGCAATTAAAAACGGATCCCTCTCTTTCATCCTACTCTCACGATGCAACATCCCGCGAGCTTTGGTTTATATGTATTTGTTTACGTGTTAGTGGAAGCTTTCTGCGCGTTTATATAGTTAACGTCGGTATCCCGATTAACTCCTTAAAAGGTATGCGAATAAATGCGTCCATCGCGCGATACGTGCGACTTCCGTCGAGAGAAACATTAATAAACTGTCGGGTAAAATGCACGTATAATTCTTCCGCGCGATCCTACGTGTACATCTCTACAGAAATAATGAAATCATTATATATCCATAATATAGTGAGAGAGATAAATGAACGACAGTTTCAGTTGCGCGCGACGCAACGTCTCGCGGACACTCGACCCTCCTTGATTGTTAATTAATCGTCGTAACCGCACTCATTAATCACGATCATCGCGAGGTATCTCGTCGCGCGCCAATTATCTCGCACGATAATAAGATATACGCAACGATCTAATAATGATATTCATACGAGTCGCATAATGTCGCTTCGTCTACTAATAATATAATACGTAATAGCATGACGATAATAATAGCAATAATAAGAACGATAATAACACCAATATGTACGTGTGTGTATACAAAGTTCTGTCGAAGATACAATACGGTAATATCTCTATCTTTTTCTCTTTCTCTCTCTTCCTTTCTCTCTCTTTCTGTCATCACAATTACTCATTTTTTTTTTCTATACACTGCTATACGTAATGGGAAAGCTGTTTTCACGATTGCACAGGTGAATTAAGATCTTTGAAGGTGTAACGAGGGAAAAAGATTCGGGGTTTTTTCGCGACCCGAGAGGCCCCGAAAATCTACTCCTCGAGAGATTAAAAAATGCGTCTGCGGAGAGAAACTCTCTCGTCCTCGTCGTTTAACGGTTTCGCGATATCGACGCCCATCGATGGATTTTTTTACGGGGAAATCATCGACGGACATCAATCTGGGCTGAATCCAGGGTGCGGTTTTAGAATCGAAAAATCACGAACAAAAGAAATCGATCTAAAAAGATCTCTAGAAAAGACGAGACTCTTCCGTAATATCCTCCTCTATCTTTTCGCGAGACGTCCCATCAAGTGATTCAACACGTTCGGAGACGTATCGTTGTTTATCGGTTTTTTTTTTAAATTATATATACAATATATATATATACAAATAAAATACAATATATGTATATGTGTATGTATATGTATATGTGTATATATATATAATATATAGTAGTTGTATAAAGAGTTCCCGCGATGGCGCCCACGGGAATTTCATTTTTAACCCATATTAATCCGATGTCGTCGCGTAATTTGCAACGTTATTAAATTAATTATTTCAATTTATTATTATAATTAATCTAGATATCTTCAGATTATTAAGGGTTAAGCTCTCCGTAAGTTTATAGTACTTGGAATCCCATTCGATGATTAATTTTCACCAAGAAACACTGAAACGGTTTTGTCGACAAGTTGAAAACATCGCATCGCCGACGCTACAAACTATAGAATTATCAAAGAAAAATGCTCCTTTTAATCTGCGCGATAATCTCTTGCATACAGAAGCAAATATTTTTACGTTTTAATATTTTCCTTTTGTGGAGCTGTGACATTGACTATTCGCAGTAGTAAAATCGAGACACGGTCAGACATATTCGATGAGCCGATCGCTTCCGTTCTGATTAAATCAAATCGATCCTCCCCTCCCTCCCTCGTTTGTTTACTTCGTGCGAGGCCTAAGGAGTAAAATCTATTTTCGAGAGTCAACCTTGATCGTCAATGTGTGTTTTTTTCTTTCCGATTATCAAAAATTTCTTATTTCTCTCATGTATCATTACTCACTAAATAACTTCATCAATTACACGTAACATCGATTTTGTCGACAAGTATATCGATACTTATCGCGATAATTACCGTTTCAAAATTGATCTCGAATTAACGCAACAACTCCCTTCTATTATCCTAATCCTTATTCTCTTCACCTTCTGTTTGTTTATTATAATATCATTACGCTTTTTTTCTTTTTTTTTTTAATTATTAAATCATCCGTTATACATCGAGTATCGCAAAATTGGAAATGCTTAGGTCTTCGCGATACTATCGCTATTATTATCACTTGGAGTTTTTATGCAGTCCTTAGTGCGAATCGTCCGATTAAATTGGAAGCATTAAGAATCCGCGCGAAATTTTTTTCTCGCGAAGATATAATTTCTCCCCTTCCCTATTCCCGTGGTCCAAAGTATCGATTTATGATATTAATCAATTCACGTATCCGCAACAATTTCTCCTTTTTTTTTTGTGACGAAATAAAACGTTCCGTATTTTAAAACGTAAGATGTTTGCGATTAAAATTAAATTAGAAATTTGGCAATTAAATTTATAAATTTTTATTAATTATTAAATTTTTAAGATTGTAATAGAAATCTTAAATTAAAAATATAATTGACATATCAATTTTGAAAGAAGCACATAAATTTTTTAAAAAAAGGAAACAATCTCAATTGTATGGAAAAATAAAATTTTACAATAATTTTCCATAACGTTTATAGCATAATTCAGAGCAGATTAAATCCTATCGATATTTGAACAAAGGACCTCCGCATTAGCCGATCGATATCCTTGTTCATTTTATTTGCTCACTCATGTTGTCCCTTTTCATAACGATGTTATGCATATCGCATAATATCTAACGTTATCGTTATCCTTATTATAATGTATATC